CTCTTATCGTCGTCGTTTGCTCTTTCTCTTTGCGCACAGAGAGAGAGAGAGAGAGAGAGAGAGAGAGAGAGAGAGAGAGAGAGAAATAGACGAAAGTCAGTAAATTAATGAGCACCGAGTAGATTCAGACGCTTTCGAACGCATGCCAAAAAAAAAAGGATGAATCCATGTGATTTATGTTTTCCTTCGTGAGCTTTTAATATCAGAGCACCCAGCACACAAGTCGTCAGATATGAAAAACCATCAGCTGCATGTGGTGCAACAACGAAAAAACAGGTTCAATCATAAATACCGTTTGCTTTATTTACAAAAAAAAAACAACACAATATGAATTTGTAAGCCGTAAATTGTGTACGCGCTGTTTATTACGGCAGTACAAAAAGTCCAATACGATGTGGAATAAGAACGATGATGACGACGACGACAGCAGATGAGAAATGAGTCAGAACGAATAATAGGAGAGAAGTTGTGAATATGAAATAAGCGTATGTGTTGATTAAATTATTTGCCAATTGCAATTATCACGCCAACAAGTGCGATCGAAATGCCATTTCATTGGATGATGCGACGGACTGTGTGTACGCATGCGCGACCGGTTTCTCTGCAAACAGAACAGAACAAAGCGAACAATTTAAAGAATTTCCGCAATAAATTTTGGTATTCGATTTGTTACAAGATGGATTGTTCACCAATTCGCTGATAAAATGTTGCAATCTCACATGTTTGGTGTTACCTAACTGCATATGCGTGTAAAATCACAAGCCAACCAATAAAATTAATCATACCAAATTATTCTGTCGAGAGAAATGAGGCTGTGGTTTTTCAGCGCATGCCGAATGATCAATGGGACGCATTTGGAAAATATATTCAATCTTTTTTTTCGGTCTTTTGTGCATTAGCACACTGGAACTGGCACTGGCTCTGAAAGAATAGACAGACAAGAAAAAAAATACATTATAAATTGGTGTATGTACGTGGCTATGTCTTGTGTTTGCGATTAGTAAAATTTATTTAGCGATAGGCCAAGCGCGCGCGATCATCGCATTCATCCGATTCGCAGGGCGCGAGTGCAAACGCATTAAGAAAATCCACAATTCATTTGCACATTGAACGCAGCGCGCGCAACCGATGTTTGTTTTATGAGATGCAGTCGGAGATTATCATATTTTTTTGTCAATAAATTCTCTTTTATTAGCAATTTATCATCCAGAGAGCCTTGCTTAAACTCTCTCTCTCTCTCTCTCGCGCGCGCGAATTATCTACCAAACGGTTAATGGCAAATTTGAATTATATTCGTTTTGCATACAGCTCGCGATTGCCAAACTTGCATGAAATTTAGCACAACGCTTGCCGCTTGTTTTTCAGCTCACGCGTCATCTGATTACTTTATCAAAATCTTATACACAAACACATTTGCATAAGATTAAGAGAAAAACGGTGTTCGGACCACGGCGACTAGGCTATGTGTATGGCGTTGGAATTTATCAATTGCTCGCATTTGGCCAGAGAGCAACATAAATCATCCATTTCGATGTTATTGTTATTTGATTATTGAATATTCAATTATACTCAGTACGAATCAAATGCTAATCGGTAAATTTATGGTTCACAATTTTTCGCAGCATATTTCAATTGAAATCGCAAACTGTGTTTTCCTGGTTCTTGACTTGATCTGCCTTGGCTTCGGTTCGCTTTGGAATGTGCGCCATTTCGTAACTCTGATTAATTTTGTGGTGTTGAAAATTATTACGAATGCCCGGTGACACCGGCGACAATCATTCAATAACAACGACGACGATGACGATATGACAATACCGTTCAAATCGATTTCGTTTCGATCGGCCCAACATACGAATAAATCACCGCAATTGACCAATAGTCCAATAGAAATCGAAAATAGCTTCGAAATCAGCTGGAATGGGCCCATTTCAAAATGTTAGAGCTAGATTGTGTCGTGACATCGAGTTTTGTGTTTTTTTAACATGCATATTTTTCTGTCTGAAATTCGTCGTTGTCGTCGTCAATATTCCCGTTTGAATGTTATGCAATGCGAGTGTAGCATTAGTGGATACACGAACTCTGGTCAATAATATTCAAATTTGACGCGAGTTATTTTTTTTTCTATCTTCGTTATTTTCGTGGGATGCTGTGATTTGATGGACCTTTTCTCTTATTACGCCCATTATTTTTCGTCGTTATGTTCGCTGTGAGCGCGTTTCTTCAATTTAAAAGTCAAATGATGTGCTGCATGGAAGCTCCGATTTTTGAATAAATCGACACATCTAATTCATGGCTGGAGATATTTATCATGCGATTCAAAGTCAAGTTTTTTTTTTTTACATCGATCGGTGAACTTATAAAAGAACACTAATTAGTGGATGATCAATCAAAATCGATTGACTAAGAGAAGAAAATTGCTGAAATCTCATTAAAATCTATATTCAGTTCGATGGCATATCATTGGTGTCCAACGAAATTGAATTAATGAAACTGCGATTTTAATCGATTTTCTACGAAATTTCACTATTTATTCTCATTTTCATTTAAATTTGTGCCTTTGAACGACATTGAAAGTCGACCAACCAACCGACCGATCGTATTTAATTAATTGATTAATTAGATATGAAGAAAGTGGTGTAACTGGTCATGAAAATAGTTTTCGTTCAACTTTTCCACGTTTTTATCTGATACACTTTATCGCTATCATCTGTGCATGTATCGATGCTTTTATTTTTCCCGAGAGTTGATCCGGTGAAATGTCTTCATATACATCCTCTTTGAGTCGATTCAAAATACCTATAAGTTATAGGCTATAACATTGTTGGCGCAACAATTTCAAAATAAATCAAAATCAATTCGACCAAAAAAGTCTGTGTCTGTAAACCGGTCCATTTTAACCAAATAACTCTACTGGCACACATTGGAATTAAATGTGTACGTGTTCAATTCGATTTCAAATGAACTTTTCATTTTTGTTGACGCTACAAAAATAGAGACAAAAAAAATTGGCTTATGAATGCGTCGCAAACTCTAGACGACATATCTTTTTTTTTTGCTCTGGTTGTTGTATTCCGAGACCGAATACCAAATGAATAGTTGTCACCGCTGCACCGGTTTTAGTTCATAATTCAATTTTTCCGCCACGACGAAGAGAAAAAACTACGATGGCTGAGTTATTGCAGCACGATCGCGCGCGCGCGATTCATTTCATTGGCAATAAAGGAAATAAAATCTAATGCGCTTTAAATGACAGTTACATATTTATATGCAATAATGACAACGTTGTATGTGCTCTTTTTTTACTGTGTGTTTTGTGAAATTATGTTTGTTTTCCCTGAGTGCAATGCAAAGAGACACGCTGTGTGTGCACTCTATGAAGCCATTGGCTCGAGCTCTCCGCATTCCAACTGTCTATTCTAATTATGTTTTTATAAATTGCGATCCATGAAGAATGCTGTAAAAACTGTTTGTCACACTGATTTTATTGCGAAATTTCGAACACATTTATATGTTTGTTACCGATAAAAAAGTTTGTTGTTTGATTTATGACACGAATGTTGCATTTTCCATTTCTCCCTTTATTTCCCTGTTTCAACGGGTTTTTTCTTTGTCTGTTGTACTTTCAATTTGTACGATTATTTGTTTTGGGTCAACAATTAAAGCCGCTATTTGCAGTGAAATAGAAAATACAAACGTGCCCAGACGCTGCTTATGTCATCGGTTTTGAATTTAGATGTGGAAAAAAGGGCATTATTATATCATAGTGCTGCATCAAAAACCGAGCCGCGGCCATTCATCATGAATTTGCATAAAATTATTCGAGACAGTTTTATCGGTTGCCATAATCGAATTAAATCAAGCGCGTACGCGTCAATGGGATTCTTCGTGTTCAGTGATGATGATCGATGGACCAATCCAATTATCTAATCTGTATACACACAATGAAGCCACCGTGTGCTTCACCTGAAATTACGAGGCCTTGCGAGCAGAAAAAAGGTTGGCATGGGCATCGTGGATCGTGGATCGAACTGCGATGTGAACGGTCACTGGACGATGTGTTTTTTATGACCTTGTATACATTAATTTGCATCTCGACTCGTTTGTCAGCGGGAGCGAAAATGACGAGAAAGAAAACACACGTCGTAAAAAATCAAAATTTGTTTCGTTTTGTTTTGATGCAATGCAATTTATGCATTAAAAAATCCATTCAAGTGTACGGTCAACAGTTATAAAAATTTAACTCCATTCCGTTAATTGATCCGTTCGGTGTAAACCACTTTTTTGTGTTCGCCTCAAATTTATTGCTCTTTGATTTTAGCAGATGATTGAATTGGCACTTTTTTGCACTTTCCTTTTTTCTTCTATTCAATTTCGATTGAACTAGCGATGTCGTTTTTATCAGCAAACACACAATTCATTGGTGTGAATCTCTCTTAAGGCGGCGTTTCCGAACACCTTCCATTTGGATTTTATGACGTTGTCGTTGTTTTTGTTGGCTTTATTCACAAATTCCATTTTTGAGATGATGATGTTTTGTGATGAAATCCATCTTGTGAAATAAAGATAAAACAACAGTAAATTTTGTTACAAGTTGTTTTGTTGATTGCAATCCGTGTGCATTTCTTCTATGTTTGCGCTGCAGAAGTCATTATCGAACATTGTACCGTTAGCGCGTGGCCTAAACACGCCCACACATTATCATCTTATCATAAGATCCATTAAATTTTACTACTTGCACATAAAAATTGTATCACGCTGACCGCAAAATTTTTAAAATTTTTTAAATGCTTAATGATCCAAACGACAAAGCATTTGAATTAATGACTCGCGCTCGACCAGTTTGAATCAAGTCATGAATCGATTTATTGGTGAAAACATTTGATGATAATAAAAAATTGATTTTTTTTCTCCACGCTTTCGATAGAGCATCGTTTTAACTGTCTAAACACACATTAAATATTTGATTTTGCATTAAAATTTCTTAATTGTTTCCATTTCAGGTTCGTGATTTAGTGGAGAAATGTACGTGTCCATCGCAATTTCCCATGGTTCGAGTATCAGAGGGCAAATATCGTATTGGCGACACAAAAGTGCTGATTTTCGTCCGTGTAAGTTCCATAAATATATTGCCGGAATACCAAAAGACAGCCAATCACATCTCTAAACCAACTTATTGAATCATCGAATATTTCGAGCAATTTTTTTCAATCGTGTGTGGCTTGAGTTGAATATAATCAACTTAACGGCGACACTAGCAGCTTCTCTGCACACACATCATAGAAGAGAGTACAAAAATCATAGTATTTTGGCAAATGCATCGAGTAACCATTGCGAAACATCAATACGTTTTGGCTAACGCATAGTACCGGCCCACAGAGAAGCTGTTAGCGTCGCCGTAAAGTTGATTATATTCTAGTAAAGCGCTACACGTTTGAAAAAAGTTGCCGAAAAATACAATGATTCAATGAGTTGAAATTGAAATGGCATTGACTGCTATGTGTCAAATGACTTACATTTGAAATGTTTTGTGGCCCTTTCCCTATGGTGAGTTCTCGTCACAGCATCTTATCTTTGGATTAGACAAATTCTCTGAATTTGCAAAACTTGTTTTTTATACGAATCATAAATGCATCCGGAAATGATTTCAAACTATTCTTCTTGTTTTGAGGATTAACTGGTCTCCAGTGCAGATATAATCTCGTCAGCTGGTTTCCAATTAAAATTGCAAGTTGATTAAAATTTATTGCAAAAATGAATTATACTCTACTGGTGGATGGTCCAAGATTTCCCAGCTTCCAAGCCAGATTGGCTCAGGTTCCAACAAGAAAAAAGATGCTCTCGCAATCTACAGCATGTGAAAAAAAAGAAACAATTCGACTGTTTTTCTGTGACTGTTGTAAATTTCTTATCAAAGACCACCCGACATGCTGAGCGAAATTAAATTCGAACGGCAAAAACGACATTCACCGATAAACGATCATGAATTATGCCAGTGTGATGACCACAGTGCGGCGCTTGGCGCTTGCATGGCACGTGAAAAATGAAAATTAATACGATTTGCGCGATAAATAATGCATCACACATAATCATTCCGGCACCGGGGCAAAGGAAGAATGTAATCAATTGCCAGCCAGAGGAGTGAGATCAAGCGATGCGCGATTTCATTTAGCAAAATGATACGAATTAAAATTCATTATCATCAAATGGGATGCCTATCATAAATTGAATTTGTTTGAACCGATTGCGATCTTGGTACAATCAATTCGATGTCGACTGTTTTACGCCTCTGACTTACAATCGGCTAGATTTTTTGCTTCTTCATCTGTGTTTTTAATAGAAAATACGATGGCATAACAAAATCAACGATTTGTATTGAATGGTTTTAAACGTGTTATCTTCACTTCTGTGCTTTAATTTGTGTCTTTTGCGCTAAGCCTGGCCAACGCTTGATTAGAGATTTAAAGCTTCCGTTGAAAAGAGGCAGCAGAAGCAAAGAAAAAAAAAAGTGCGCCATGTTCAAACGAATTTATCTTGTCTTATCTATGTTAGAGTTGAAGCACAGAAAATGCGCACACATCGCATTCGTTGTACAAGTATTTGAGCACATTTGCTACTGCTGCGCTCTATTCCCGACTGACGTGTGAATTGTGCACGACTGGATCGACTTTGTGTAGCTTCAAATTGAATTTAATGAGTATTCGTTTGGATACGATTGCGCTTTTCTACTGTAAACACTAAACACCAACATCGACACGACGATGAACTGGCCGCAAATAACGTGTCTCGAACTCGATGTGGATGGATTGGCCACAAATGAAGCATAATAACAATAATACAATGAATTGAAAAACTTAAGCACCATCATGATCGATACGTGCCGTTTTATTATTTTGATATTTACCTGGGCTCGACGACGACGACGACGATGACGACAAGAGTTGCAGACGAACGGGTGAGAGCTTTAGAGACAGAGAAAAAGGCCCGTTAAACAACGTGTGGTTAATGCTGATTGATAATAATTGATTGTTGATCGTTGTTCATGTTAATTGTTGAACGGTGCTGCTGCTTGTTCCGTCACTCAACATGTGGCCGATTGCTCTCTGTCGGCCCGAATACAAATCAAATGGCTTGTTCAACATCGGTGTAAATGCAAATCGAGCGACAAGAAAATGCGGAATAACCAAATCAGCATGCAAATTTTACACTCGCCCAATCGGTTGGATTGCTTTTTTTTTTCTTCTGTTTTTGACATATTTTGGAATTTCGTGTACGCAATGTCGTACAAGAGAAGGAAAAAAAAACACAACAACATCAACTTTCAAATATGCCGCCACGATTTTTTCCTTCTGTGCTGTGAATCGACGAAGAAATTATCTACATTTAAGCAGTTAAAGCAATTACTATCAGATTCACATCAAATGGAGGCAGTATTTCTTTTTTTTTTATTCTCAACCAGCCCATTGTGTTGCATAAGAGAAATCCGATTCGAAATTCCCGCAACATATGCGTATGCGAGTTCAAAAGGCATAAAATAATTGAAATTCTTGCTGAATCCGACTTTTTTTCCGTTTCAACTTACGAAATCAATGAAGTTGAATTCTCTGAAAACTCACAGTTAATAAAGTATTTGCAGCATTCCAAGGGACGGACACATCGTGTAAATTCTGAAGACGTAAAACACCGCTTTTTTTTCTGTTTCTTCTTCTAAATATGTGCATATTTATAAATAGACTTCACTCGGCTTAGTTTTGAAATACGGCACACAAAAAATGCAACCGACATCAAGTTTACATCAGAACTTGCATTCAATTCACTGAATTGTATTCTGGTCGGTTTTTTCTGAAATTGCACAACTCAAACGACTGATTTACCGGAATGCTTTTTTTTTTCGTCTGTTTTGTTTTGATTCCAAAAAGGAAAAGACGAACATTTTGCTTTATTGTATTTACTGTGTTAAATGTTTACAATACGAAATGAGCAAACGCGCTGGTGTCAACTTTCTGAAATCAATTTGTTCGATCGCATGAGAATAGAGAGAAATCGTTTCGAGAAGAAGAAAAAAAAAACGGCAACAAAATGTGTGCTGTGTCGTTTTTATTGACTTTTTCCTGTAATTCAGTGAGTTTTTCATTGGCTTTTATGTCTTCATTAGCTGCACTGAACGTAAAAATCGACAAACGGCCGATGCAGTTCGTTTTACCGCTCAATTTAGAAAAGTGATTAAATGATTCAAAATCGGGAATGAAAAGCGAACGACGACGACGACGACGACGACGACGACGACGACGACAAAGCAGCAGCTTGCATGAGGTTCAAAAGCCACATGTTTTAACTGTTTTGCGTTTATCGTGCGACACCATCACTTAGTGTGTGCAGTTTAACGACAACGACGAATGTTCATTGGTAGTGTTGCTTCTACTACCGTTGCTCTTGCTGCAGCACATTGGCACACAGTCAGTCGGTTTTACATGATCTTGAGCAATTTGCACGGGCTTTTCGTTTGAAAATCGAATTAAATTGAATCGTTGGCTCGCCAATCGTGTTAATTAAATGTGATTTATAAGAATTCAATCGCATCGAATGTCGAAAATTCGCTTTATTTTTGGATACATTTACGAAATGCACCAATCGAACCAAGAAGAAAAAGCAAACAAGCAAACAATGAAAATATACTCGAAATCGACACTATGCCAGTCTTCTACACTAATTAGATTAGCAATGATATTTTTAGCGCCAAACGAAACCACTAACAATACAAAGAATTCCCGCGAAAAGACACATTATCAAATCGCGGCTCGTACAACTAATCACGACTTTTAATTAAAATACCTAAATGCGCGCCGATGCAAACGCTCTTTTATCCAATGAATATTTCCGATTTCATACGTGAAAGCGAAAAAAGATGGTGGTTGGTGCAATACGGCATCTAAATATTGAAATTGCAACATAACCTATGAAACAGCAACATACTATATATAGAGAATTCGTTGATTTTGTAATAACGCCATTAAATCTCGTCTCATTATCAGAAACCCCCTTACTGGAGACAATTTTCCACTTCATTTGCTCTCGCGCCAGAAACTACAATAAAATGATGATAAAAACAAACAGAAATCAGTGGATCGAATACGAATCATAACATACTGATCATGACTTTACACAACTCGATTCGCGGATCATGTATCGTCGTTACGTCATAGCAGAACAAAAACCGCAATCGAAGGGATCTCTTTGATTCGTTGGAATATGCTGTTTGCTCAATGTGTAGTTATTAGTTATTTGCTGTTTTGATCGAGCAGCAAGAAATACTGTAGCATCAGATAATGTCTCGTCAATGTGGCGCCCAGAACAACACTCCGCATTCGATTGTATCGAAACAAATCGATTCTGGTTTCTGGAAATGAATCGATTGAACTTTCATTGTCATTTCTAGTTCATTCCAATTCTGCAAAACAAAAATTATTGACTTTTTCTCTTTTTTCAGATTTTACGGTCACATGTAATGGTTCGTGTGGGAGGTAAATATCTGTTTTTGTCGTAAAAAATATCGATTTTTATATCAAATTTCCTCCTAAAAAAGTGTTTCATGTTGAATTAACAGAGACTTTCTTCTCTTTTTTCGTCAATTGACTTTCAATTTATTAAAAATGGAAATAATCGATTAATTCTAATTTTCTTCAGGTGGTTGGGATACGTTGTCGCACTATTTGGACAAGCACGATCCGTGCCGATGCCGTGCCCAGCACCGTTCATCAGTTGCCGCTCGTATTATAACGCGTACGAATCAGGCAACAAACGGCATTGAATTGCACAAGGCTCAAGTCTTCTTCGAAAGGTAAGTTCGCTTTCGGCACAAAATCCATGCAACTCCGTTCCCAAATCAGTATGTAACAAGCAAATTGCCCCGGTAGTAACAAACCGTGCGCGCACACACACATCAAACTTACTGTGAAAAGTCATCGATTATCGATCCATTAGTCATCTAATGTTTCGGTTTCAAATCCATTTTGAGTGTTACACGATTTTTTTCCCCTTTGAATTGCTGTTAACGCTTGATCATGATGTTCAATTACACGATATTTTCGATCGCAATCGCAATTTGCACATTGTACCCGGAGAGACTTCGTCGCCTGCTAAAACTAAAAAAGACCACTGTGTAGATAAAATCGAATGGAGTTGAAAAAAGATGGGGAAAAATGCAGCAGCTTTTCTGAATTTGTACTACAACTACCGGCAATCGACATCTTTAAAACCCAAAATGGTTAATGGAATACAATGTTAAACATGATCGTGAACAAAATTACAACCATTTTCAGAGTGTTTGTCTCTATTTATAACGCGTACACTGTGTGCTTGGTTCGCTATTAATTCGTTTTTTCCTCTGTACTCGACTATACCACGTGAGACTTGGCGCACAAAGCGAATTCTGAAATTGGATTCTGTTCTTTATTTATGCGCCTCTCATGAGATTAGTCTAAGCTCGAGACAATGTTTTGACTCCGAACACAAGAAAATATTAACGCCACTCGTCGAACAGCACCGAAGAAAAACGCTTTGAAATTCAGCCGCGTCACTCGTTTGTGTCGTGTGTGTGAATACGAGGCATGACTCTTGTTTTCAGTTAGCGGAAATTCTATTTTTATATCCGCGTGTAGATGCGTTTGTTGTCTTGTCTTCACTGATTTGGACAAACGGCTTTCGTCGATTGATATGATATCGTCGATAAATTGACTAATGATTTTTCTTTTATATTCAATCAACAGATCGCCTCCATCGGCGCGCAAGTCATTAAATAACAGCAATTCTGGAGCCACGAGCAGAGTAACATCACCAACAACAGCCAATACAAGCTCACTCTCGCCACAGTCTGGCCAAGCGGCAAGAAATCGAAGCCGAAGCCCAACACCACATGCATCACAGAAGAACAATTCACCTTCAACTACCGAACAGTTACAGGTAAGTTTTGCTGTCTTTTTTTTAAATTGTTGTTCCATATTTCCATTTTCATCGTCATCACGATCAACACTTAATTTATAGCAAGTGCTACACAATACCCACAGATTGTTTGTTATACGAGTCGCCATAGAGCAGAGCAAAACAAACCAATTAAATTTCCCATCGTAAACAATTCTTTATTACGTTTTGCAATTAACAACAACGTCAACACTGCGCTCGTACATAGTTTTAATGTGCGACAATCGTGCACTCTTGATCAATATATAGTGGAGACTGCGCGAGAGACTTGTAAATGAGCCTTGTTTTGAAACATAAAACAAATCACTCTTCGCTCGATTATTATGAACGCGAAATGAAATTGGTTTGAATGCGCAAGATTTTAATAGAAATGATTAACAAGAATAAAAGCGTGAATGAATTAACGTTACATTCATACAAAGTGTTTATCATGCACGCGTATCTCATTTGTAAGTTGCACTCGATGCTCACACACAAGGCTGCTGATTGCCGGTTGTTTTTTCTTTTTCTCCTACTAAATTGATTGGAACGCTCTCGATTGATAAGTACCATCAATTAACACCCAAGTTCGATTACACTCCGGCTAAACGAGTCTCGCGCATACGCGCTGCATTTACGATATATAATCGATTGAATAATGGATTCACACAAAGTGCTTTAGTTTTGATTAATCCAGAAAGATTAGTTTTATGATCGCCTAATTGATTTTGCCCTATATTTCAATCCAAATTAAAGCGGTTTTTATTTGCGTGTTTTCCCCATTTTAGTCAACGGATAAGAATTTATTGGCATCACCAAATTTGCAACGGCGTTCAATGTCACCAAGCCCTCGTCGATTGGGCGACCTAAAGAGCAAGAAACAAACTTCATTCGATTTAAATGTTGGTACAGCAACAACAGCTCCACCAGCTGCTACCACCGAAACGGACACATCGAAATTGAACGAAACGAATGGCACCGCTAATGGAACAACCGATAATGGCGGCAAATTTGAAAACATTAGCGACAACGGCAGCGAAATTAGCGACGAAGGATATCGAAGCTTGGGCCTCATTCAACAGGCCAACAATAATCAGTCGAAAAGGACATCGTTGCATAGCCAAACATCAATTGAAGACGTTAAAACGGATGACGCAAAAACTAATGGTGAGTTTTTGAATACATTGACGATTTTTTTCTTACTTTTTGTCAACATATTCAATTTTCTTCCATTTAAAGAACATTTAAATTGATACAACCAATTGTCTCACTGACTCGTCCGTGTACGAATTGCTGTTAGCGTAAAAGAGATGTTGTTCGCAGTAAACTCAGTTTAGATGTTCTTTTAAACTTTTGCGATTTTTGGACTTTTTTCTGTTCTGTTATTCATTGCTTAGTTCAATTCTTTTAAATGTAAGATTTTTTCAACAAATTCTCTGTCTCTCTCTCTCTCTCTCTCTCAACAATTTTCCAGTGCGTCTCGATCAAACTTCAAGCGATTCACAATGTTCGCCAACGGATGAACTCAGTTCGAAGGGAACAGCGGCCGATTTAATTGAAACAATTGAATCGAGTCCTGTTGATACGCCCGATGCAACATTGAACACCGAAGTAGATGCAAAGCCATTCGAAGAGGCCGGAGTATTCATAACCGATGATGATATCACCGTTGATGTGTCGAACACCACTGGGCTGCGAAAAACTGGATATTCCGATGATTTATACAGTGACAGTCTGATGAAAAAGACATTCAGCAAAATTCCCCGCTCGCCAATGCCCCGTCGCAAGAGCATTGACAGTTGCTCAGTCAATAGTGACAACGCATCGAACAGCACCGGACTACCGATATTGTCACGAAAAATGCCAGTTTACCGTTCGGTACGTAAGTCCTCGTCACCGAATATTGAAGTGACTACTTCAAGCCAAGCCACAACTTCGCCGAAAAAAGACATTGGTACTTGGAATGGTCGTGCAGCGGCTGGTGCCGCAAATAAGAAACGACCAACAGTTGGTACCGAATTATTTACACCAATTTCAAGTAAAAATAGTGGAAGTACATCGAATTTAAGTCAAAAAGGAACAACTCCGTTCCAACGGAATTCCGAAAATCGTGCGTCAAGGTGTCAGTACGATCAAAATGGTCGTCGTATTGTTAAATCGACAAATACATCACCAGTGAAACAGAGTACATCACCACTTGCTCAACAGATTTTGGAAGCGGCCGAAAGTGCAAAGAATGATGCTCATATGTTGGAGAAAATGAAGCTACTGCTAAGCAAGTATACAGTGAATAAAACCGGCAGTAAATCAAGTGGTTCGTCGAATCGTAGCCGTTCAACCGCAACACCGTCACCGGTCAAGAACAAAGACGAATTTGAAGATTTTACCACGGCTTGGGTGAATTCCAATGGATCGCTAGATCGTACCAGCAATTGTTGTACACCAGTCAAAGCGCACTCAAAACGCAGTTCGGCCGCCTCATCATGTGACAGTACGGCGTATGGTAAAGGCGATATCCTAGTGTCGGCTCGTCGTGACCGAGGCATTTCACGCATTCCGGCACCAATCCGACAAAACACTGAGCTTTATTGACGCTTAAGTCAGTTTTAAGTTTACTGAATTTCCAATTATCTTCGATTCTTTTCCCGTTTTTTTTTAAATTTTGATTTCATCTTTTGTTTCATACCCTTTTTTCCGGTAGTTTTGTAAGAGTTTCTTCGTTTGATTTGATCTTACGTCGTTTAAGAGTAGTATACGTTTTTTTTTATCATAGAACCGATGAAATACTGGAAAGTTTTCCTTTTTTGAAGATTTATTCAGCTTTATCAAGAATTTATATTATTATTATTAACCATATTTTTTCATATTTTTTATTTTTCTTTTCGTTCGTTTCGATCGCTTATTTAAATGAATAAACTGTTCGTTTCATCACAAGAATGATGATATACAATTCAATCAGTAACATTCTCGCTTGAATGTTCAGTTCACAGTTTAGTTAGTCACATTGGGCTAGCTATTGCAAAAAAGCAAGCAATAAAAAAGACAGATTCTATCTGAAGTAAAAAAAAAATACTCATTGCGCAACATTTGAACCCTATATAGCCTTCCAATCAACCACATGAAATCACAGAAAATTTTCTTTGTTTTTTTCAGTGAATATAGAATTCAAAACAAATGTATTTCACTAATAAGATTTTTTTATATAGTCTCTTTATCATTGAAGAATGGAATTCGAGAAATATTTTTGTAGAAATGCAATTAGGTATTTTAGCGTCTATAGAAATGTAGCTTAGGTCAAAAGCTAAACTAGCAAACAACTAAACTGTTTGCAAATGAGAGAATCTTTAAATGCACTCTTTTCATGGAACAACACAACAACATTTATTCGTCATTCTTCACATATATATATGTTGAATGGTAGAAGAAACATCGTTCGAAATGTTCGCGTTTCTGAAACACTAGACTTTTATATGTCACAAACTATATACGTATTAATTTTTAGACGAAAAAAAGAGCCTATATCGAGCCTTTAACCATCTCTTTCTCTATCTCTATCTATCTGAATCTCTTCGGTAGTCGATTAATCGATAGAAATAAAACTTTTCATAAAGTTACATAATTGGATAACATCGTTAAAATAGCAGTAAACAAGATGTTTTGTATCTGTGTGTTATGTTGTCAATGCCGATGAAGAGTGCAAAGGTAAAGCACACTTGTTTTGTTATAACCGCGAGCACGATGCAACCAAAGATCACAATGATTTTTTTATCGGTTCCGTGGCGTGCCTGCGGTGTGTGTTCGAGTGCATCGTTTTTTTTTTTCGTTCTTCGTTCCATCTTTTAAAACATATCATTTGACTTGGCCGCATCGTGTGCGATTCACATACTTTTTCGTATTTTTATGTGAAACACGTTCATTTTACGTTCTCGCAACTTCTTATTTTTTATCTTTTCGATATTTCTCTTCAATTGACATGGATATATTTATGTAATATTGCTACTGATGTATTTTTGACACACAACCACTAAAGGCACACTATCGCCGTCATGTTGGACTTGGAAACAAAAACCAAACATGTTTATTATGAACATGAACAATTACACTGTTTTTTTTATGTCTTCAATCACAATAAAAAGATACAACGTTTTGTTTCGTACTGCATTGGAGGATTGAACGAGATTCACAGATAAAAAATTGAAATAAACTTTATTTCTGGACCAAGAAGAGTAAATGCCGATGTATTGAGATGATTGGACAATCAGATTTTGACTTTGGTTTAATGACGTTATATATTTGGCGAAAAAAAAGCCAGACGATGGTTAATATCGCTTAAAAATCAAATTGGTGCTGAAAATTTTGATAATTTCGAGCGTAGGAAACGAAATGCAAAACTAGACAGATTGAGAAGCAATTTCAATCTTCGTGAAGCTATTCATTTCTGTATTTGCATGAATGTTTCCTGGGTTTTGCTTGGTGAGGTGCATGTTGTGGCCTCACCCAAACTAAAAATTTAAATTAAAGAAAATCAAAAGCATGTAGAGTTATACTTTTGTTAATTGTTAACAAAACTGAAGTGAAGGCTTATTCCCGTCTTTATTTCCGAATCATTTTTTATTCTATTTAGTTGAAAGAGTCTATAGCGTTTTGTAGGAGGATCTGATTGAGATATGAATCACGCATAGGATTATGGAAATGTTTTTACTATTGATTAAAACTGGAATGTTAAAAAAAAGACTAATAAGATATTGTTAGTGGTGTTGTAGGCTAGACCAGAATCAAGCAATTGAAAATGTTTCAATTTTTTTTTAAATCAAAATTTTAATTGAAAAACGACTGAAAAAAATTGTGACCATTTTTTTGAAATTCGAAAAAAAAAGTGCAATAGAAAATCCGATAAAACCAAACTTGAAGTGAAAAAATATAAACTCAAATACTTTCCTAAGCAAACAACAAATTGGCGATAACCCGATAATTTTTCTACAAGAAATAGAATTTAACCTGGACCGATTAAAATTCTTTAATACTTTTACGTTTAAAACAATTTCAATTAGAGTTTAAGTTCTTAACGGTGAAACCAACTGTCTGGTTGTACTTTCAATATATATACTTTATTTAACGTTTTCATTTAAGCTACGAAAAAAAAACTATAATTTATGTTAATGGAATTTATCCCGAGCAGCAAGCAACACAATATTTCATGTAATAATCACTTGATGGGTCATGAATAAAAACAAACATATTTAACCACAGCCAAACATTGAACGGTGTTTTACTTTATTCAAACTGTGTTATTAGCTTTCAATTTTAGTTTGAGACTTAGTTAGGAATTCAATTTACAGCTCGCACAGATTATTTTCAAGAGGGTAAGTCATGGAATCGGATGGAAATTGCATTAAACTGAGAATAAACCCGATCTAAACGATGACTTTTGCGCATATCTATGACTAGATCGAGAGGAGAGTATGTGAAAAAATTCTAATATATTTTGAAAGAGGAGAGTATGATTTCTGTTGATTCTATCTGCGTTAAAAGGAAGTATGTTAGCATCCCGTCTAGCCTCCGCGGTTTTTCACGGTTTTCGCGGAACTGATAAAAGATAACAACATGGTGTCTTCGGCAAAGTTGTAGTACTCGAAGTTTTCTATAACATTGCTGAAGATATCTATCTCTTATCTCTTATCAGTTGCGCGCAAATCGCGCACATAAAAAAGCAAATTTTATATAGCACTTTTTTTTTCTTATCATTTTTCGCGCTTTTCGCGGAACTGATAAGTGATAAGAGATATTTGACTTCAGCAATGTTATAGGAGACCTCGAGTGCTACAACTTTGCCGAAGACACCAAGTTGTTATCTCTTAGCAGTTCCGCGGAAACCGTGGAAAACCACGAGGACCCGTCAAAAATGAACATACTCGCCTTTAACCATTTTTGAGTCGAAAGAAACTTACTCTTCTCTTTCATAAAAAAGTCAGATGAACTTACTCTCCTCTCAATCTAGTCAATAGATATATGATTTGTTGAACTGCAGTCAAGATTCACTTTCCAATGGAACTAGTTTCAAAAGTCAACTTCAGCATCTGTTGGCGCCTAGCCGAACTATTTCATCGTTATGCTTTTGTAACTAAGCTCTTACTTTACCTCAAGTGTTCCGCATACTTACCGAATGTATGGCTTGAGGCTTTGCTATGAACATTCAGACGAAATTGATAATTTAATGACGGCAATTTATTCGGTGGTTTTTATGAAACATATTCGCGTCTTGAACAAAAGGCGAATTATTTGCACATGAATTCGAACAAAAACTTCAAAATGGGCTGTTAATTGTTCGTTTGGCATTGTGTCAGATTATCTGATCTGTATATGAATCTCTGTTCGATAGAAAGAAACAGTTGAGCCAATCATGTGAGCTTGATAGTTGTGATATTTCATCGACGTTTCAACCGCATACCATAAGTGTTAATGAAATGTAACACAGTTACGTCCAGCAGCTGATTTCGTATGTACGCCTACGAGCGGTCAATATGCGCGCACACATACACAAAATGCTGATCGCAGCAAGAAATCTGCTGCCAACTGTGTGCTTGTTCACAATTTGTATTCAATTTATATTAAGTGAATCTCATTCGGCGTAGTGTTTTTATGACAGATAGTTTATTTTACACATCGAGACGGACGTGTACACATAATCTGAATAAGCGGAACTCAGACAACTTATCTAAGCACATGATAATACAAGCACATTTAAGCGTTGCAAAAGTCATTTGACATTTCATATTTCTGAAACGATTTATCCCAAACGTGCGTCGGGGTCGCATGCACTTCGCGTCGAAGCGATACAAACAGTATCATTAGTAGCCTTTTGTTGCGAACACATTTCTTATCATAACTATTTTTCGAAATAAAAACTGGTTCCTAAGTGATTGAAATAAATGAAATTGTTTTACCGTGTTGAATGCAAACAGTTTGCAATTGGTTGAAGCATTTTTACTGAAAAAAAAAACATTTGGAGGCGTATTTTGATTTCGAATTTATTTATTTTTTTGTATCTGGTCAAAAATTTTGCTTAAACATTTAAATGGTGCGAAGTTATAAAGCTGATTAGTTCGTTCAAAAGGAATTGTCTTTTAAATTTTGTGAAAATGAATCGTTTAAATGTTTTGCTGACATTCATTTGTGTTCTGATGATTCAATGTCATGCGGGTATGAGATGAACAAAAAGATTGTTGAAATTATTTATTCTGAAATTTTCAAAGAAATTCACACATTTTCAATTCCAGATGGTACAGACAATGAAATACTGACATTATCCGAACGTCTTTTTGACCTTAGTACACCAAATATTTTCAATCAGATCACAGTGAATCTTCAACGTCGCACATATTCATCCGCGACAACCGATGATGCTCCTGCACCGTATGTTATTTGTTAAACATTCTTTATTCCATTGCGACATGAATGTAAAATTCTATCATTCCACTGTAGACTTTTGGGCATAAGCAACGCCACATTGGCCCGAGTACCAACAATCGTGAAGTTGCAAACACTTTACGACAACTATGAACTGGATACGATGACCGTTGAGGATGTTACAGCGGCCGAATTGCGGGAAGAGGACGAATTTCTCAATAAAATTCTAGACACAGAAGTTATGAAGGCCGCTATGAACTATCTACAAATAAAAGGTTTGATTTTGTTACTTGCAAACAAGGGCAGAGACACCAACGCTAGTTTCACTAATTTAATAGGTGCAAGTTTATTGTTGTGTGCTTGGAAAGAAAGCAAAAAACTATATTTTGGTAATTTTTCTAATCTCATTTCATAGAAAAGAACAAACCATTCCATTTAATTTCATAAAATAACTCTGAAACTTTGTTCTAAATGGTTAAAAACTGTAAATAACAAATTGCTATTTTTACTATTTTCCTCTAGTATTTGTATGGACTTGAAAAAAATAGCTAATGGTGTCTCTCCCCATGCTGTCAAATGAAAACGATTCTTGTTTCCGTATTCTTGATTCCTTTTTCTCCATTGTCATCAGGTGCTGTAAGATCTGATCGTGCAAGTCAACGAAATCTACTGAAGACAATTTGGTTTACGATGTATTCACGAGGCGGTGGCAAAATCGGAAGTTGTGGCTTTGAACACGTTTTCATGAATGAAATCAAAAATACTGAAATTTCCGGATTGCACAACTGGATTTATTTCTACAAACAAGAGCAGGACAGCCACCATGATGTCGATTACAAAGGGTACATGAAATCACTTCATTTGGGAAATGTACGTTAGCTCAGCTTCAATTATAAATATTAAATGTTCATTTTACAACGAACAGAATATGTTTGGAATGATATTGATTCGTTTTTTCTTTGTTGCAGAAAGCACAAATTATCAAGTACAGAGTGAGCTACAAAAATAAGAATAAACCGGTGAATACAATGTTTATCGGAACACTTCCAGAGCTTGAAATGTCGCTCTACACCGTTTGCCATGTGATGAGAAAATCAAAATGCGATATTTCACTCAGCGGGAAAAAAATCACAATTAGAACGTATCCATTTTTCTACCGAGGGAATCGATTGATTGGCAGCGCTTACCCGGAATTTTAGAACACAAATTAATCATAATGCTAAATCATAAATATTTAATTTGAATCGAACCGAATCATAAGAACTTTATAGGTCAGAAACAGAGCTGTTACGATACTTGTATATATCTAATGTGCCATATAGTAGTACAAATAGTCTTTTCGGCCGTCTTTGACATTTTACCAACTTCTATTCATCTATTCGATTGATTGCAATGCACAAAATTGGAACTAAGAAACAAATATCATGAACAGAATGTACGGCAAATCTTCATTGAATGTATTTACATCATAAATAGTTTCTTATGTGTGAATAAAATGAGATAATCAAGAGATTTGAGTGACGGCATATCCCAGGATAAACTGAATCTTTGTACCGTTGTAATATATCAAATTGTTGTAGTGCGATTCGTCATTCTTTCGATTAATTGGCAGATGAAATTATAACCGTTTTCCGTTCCGAATGCTTTTCCGGATTCAAAAAATCCATTTCGATCGATCAACACAAAGATATTTGCATAATTTTTCGGTCAGTTGATTATAATTTTGTCCATAGTTTTACGCCTTGTAGGCAATTTTGAGATAAATACAGTTTTGAAAAATTATGGCTGGGCTTAAAATTAAAGCCAAAGCACTTGGAATGAATATTAAAATTAGGAGAAAGCTGTTCTGGCAAGTGTTATACATACCATTGACGATGAAATGAAGTATAAGCATGTTTATTATTTAAATTTCCAATTCTATTATTGAAATGTTCTAGCCATAACTTCGTTTTAATTTAAGTATAACGCATCTTCTGCGTGGAAAAAACAACGGTGTGAAATTTTGTGGGCCAAATGCTAACAGACATAGGCTTCTGAAGCAGGGTTAAATTACCCCATTCTCAACAATTTTGAACGTATTATCTGGAAAAATTTTACCCATACTCTGATTGAAATGCCAAAAGTGAGGACATTTTTTTGAGTCTTCGAATTACCCATATTCAAAATTAACCTCCTCTGAACCTTCTATGCGAACCTTCAGAAGCTCTGCTAACAGATGTAACCTTAAATTGACTTTGCATTTTTTATTATTGTAATGACGTGTGTGAAATTTTTGGTGTGAAGACGACGACAAACAGGGAATAAAAGCGCGAGGACATTGTGATGAAAACCAGTTCATTTGCGAATTTTGTGCTATAGGTTTGGCATTGAGTTTCATCATGGCGAAGTTAATACTATTGGCGATAGCAATGCTCGCATTGTGTATTATAACGTGTGATTCGAGTAAGAAAATTAACCAATTCAAATTGCATTTTTCCAAAAACGATTTTTCTTTTTTTTTATACAGAATTGCCAGCAAGTGATGTGGAAATCACGAATCTAAGCGAACTTTTGTTCAAAAATGCTGATAATCGACTGTCGAAAAAAGTTTTTTTCAACATCAAAGCAAATCCGTATGATTTTTTAGACTTTTTTTTGAATAACAACCAATTGAATGTGAAAGAATGGTTTTAATTATTTTGTGTTTGGTAGAGTGTTGAGGGTGAATGACACCGATTTGAGTAGTGTGGAAACTATTAGAACGATGCGCCCTTTGTTCAAAAACTTTAAAATAGATTCCGCACTTCCGGAAGTAGTAACCCAACAAATCGAAGCCCAGCAAGATAAATTCTTGGACGCAGTGATCAAAACAACTGCTATGACGATCTTGAAGAATTTCTTCAAGAAGAAAAGTAATAAAAAAAATCAACATATCGGCTTTGTTACAAAAATTTCATTATACTTTCGATTTTAGATGTTGATGGAATTTACAATGTAGATGAAGCGGTGGCACAGAGAAATTTTAAGCATCTTCTCAAGGTTCTCTGGTTCACGAACTATGCACGAATGAGAGGTGGCGCAAAAGGTATTTTAGTGGGTTTTTTTTTCAAGTTACACAGTGATAGAATAATTTCTTTATATTTACAGGTAGTTCTGGATTTGAACATGTATTTTGCAAGGAAATCATTTACAAGATAAGATTTCATTTTCCTCATAAATTGAATTTATCTAGGAATTTATCCAACATAAAATACTGTTCAATTTATTTTAGAACAACGTTATATCGCATGGCGAACTTTCTGGCTTCCATAACTGGATACATTTCTATGATCAAGAAATGGCCAAAACTCGAAAATTGACTTTCCAGCAACTCACGAGAGATCTGACACTGTCAAATGTATTTTAATCTCATTCATCATTGGCATTCGAATATTCATCAAATTGTTTTTTTCCTTCTTTTAGAACTTTAGAATTGTTAAATACAAAGTGTCATACGATAATATGGAAAAAATAACATCGATGTTCATTGGAACCACGCCGGATTTCGAAATGAGTTTATACACTCTGTGTGTTGTGATGGATCGAGAAACGTGTCAGGTGTCATTGGGTAAAAAACGGTTCTTCATCAAGACATTTGTATTTTCACGTGGACAAGACAAATTGGTTGCAAGCAGCTATCCAGCGATATAAATGTTTAAGAACTTACTCTATCACTGTGTAACTTGAATAAAAACAGAAGAATGGAAAAAATTGTCGTTTTCTGGCATTTTGACATGGAATAAAAAATGCGTTTACGTTTAAAAAAAAATCCTGATAACCTTATTGTTGATGATTGATGCGTTGAAATTTCCCTCAATAGCAAAAGAACATCGTGAAATTTTTGAAAAAATACAGTTCAATTAGTGACATTCAGTTGATTATGTATGAAAAATGTAAAAAATGGGCAAATTTAATATTTCTCCCTTTTTCAGTACTTTTGTAGGGGAAAGTGTGTTTTTTCCAATATTTATCGCCGGAAATGTTATTTATTTTGCATTTCTCGTCGTTTTGTGCCAAACAGATCTGGGAATAACGATAGATGCAAAATCCGAGGTCAATCCAAAATTTTGAAATAGAATGATTTTCTGAAAAAAAAAATATTCAGTCTATTTTGAAAAATAGAGCAGATAGATGAAATCGGATACTGCCAATTTCTTCATTGGGGGTGTGCGAACATATGCTTCCATACATCGGGATCGAAGTTTGGCTGTAGCTTCCGCTCTACGGGTCATTTTGTAAATTTTTGAGGAAGAAAGGTGTTCGGTAAACTGAAATGCGGGAATAGTAGTGAAATCTCAGAATAGGCTCCTGATAACCGCAATCTTATTTTTTCGTGACCCTTTTTCATAAAACGCCGGAGCATCACCAAAATTACGACCTCAATTTATTTTGGGACAGTCTAGTGTACAGTACATCAACCTTCCACGTAAGTAATGATATCAGTCAAAACAATGAAAAAAAAAAACCATTTTCAGAAACATCTGTTTATTATTATTCTAAATTTGAATATAAATTGATCGATGAAAGGATGCAACGTATAATTATTCTACGAACGCCAAATATTGATACTAAATTTGTGTGTGCATGAAAAGAAAGACTGATATCATTTTTATTGACATTTACAAAACACTCAGATGGAATGCAACAATTATATCACTGGATACGTTGCACCGACCATCCTCTTACCGTGGTAGTTGAATGGAAAAGTGCGAATAGTGAGTTTATTTCCATCCAAAGAAATTTGACAGTATGTCTTATTCATTTCGAAGCAGACAGTAAAAAGGGCCATATCGAGCTCAGGCAATGTTCCGATAAACATGGAATTGACTGGTTTGGTGACGCCATCGAAAGAAAAACGATATTTAACAATTTGTCCTTTCTAAAAAGAAAAAGCAATTATTAAAAAAAAGGTTAAACAGATCAAAAAACGAATTCTACTTACATTGCCAAGCAAAAGGCTGTCCATATAGCCTTTATAATCAACGTTACCAGTGACATTTTCTTTATGATGAAAATAAATCCAGTTGTGAAGCCCAATCGGTGAACCATATTTCATTTCATTGAGAAACACGTGTTCAAAGCCAGAGCTGCCGATATTTCCTCTAGTCCGTGGGTACATTCCAAACCAAATGTCCCTCAGTAGATCAAATTGGGCATCCCGACTTGATCTGATGTAACCTGTCGATCATAAATAGAAAAATGACTCAATTGAAAGATAAAATTCTTTTCGATTTGAGTTCCAGAAAAAAAAGAATGAAGATCACCTTTTTTATGTAAGAAATTCATGGCGGTTTGCATAACTTGCGTATCGAGCACTGCATCAATGAACTCCATTTCTTCAATCTGCTCTTCAGGCGTCACCTCTTCACTGTCTGACGCATCTAGTTCATAATTATCGAAAAGTGCAACCAATTTCGCAATTGTTGGCACTTTATACACCACCGACTCATCAACATTCAAAAGCCTAAAAAGCATGGATAATTAAAAAAGTGTTATTGAAACATTGGAGAAAAAAAAATTTGTTTACGGTTGTTCAGCATCATCCGAACGTGACCATGAAGACGTTGAGCTCTGTAGATTAACTTTGACATAAGGGAATATGTTTGGTGCGCTTTCTCTGAACAATTTCTCAGTGAGTTCTTCGAATTCCGACTCGCTGGACTCATACTCGCGGCACACTAAATTATACACAATTAACTATCGATAAATGATGCCAATCAAAATATAACTAAACTTACATGTGGTCTGACAGTGACTGACGACAATCAAAGCAACAGCTATCAAAAATGATTTCATTTTGGAGGGTACTTGAATTACTTTCACAATGATAACAACTGTTCAGCTGCAAATTTAAATGAATTCGATTTCACGGGAACGAAATTGCTTGTGTGTACACTTCAGCTGAGAAAACTTTGAACATAATTTCAGTCGGGCATCGTCTTTATATTCATAATGAACAATCGAATTTATCAGTGTTATTTGTTTTCGTAGTACATTTTGTTTATGTCACTAGCAATGTACGATGTTGAAATCTCACATAACACAACAATAATATCCACGATTAGTCGGATATAAATTCAATAAAACTCTTCAAACACTTTGTTCGAAATGGTAAAGAAGCAGTATGCGTGACAAAAAAGCGATCAAATTTCTGTAAAATGATATTTTAGTATATCAGCGAACACCTGTGTGTGCCGCATTTTTACACTTGTATCACGCTAACGTGTCAATTAATCGGTGCACTGTCACCGGCGCTTCCAATTCTAATAACAAACTGTTGGAATATTCACGTGTGTGTCATCGTTGATTATCTCTCTGGCTTTATTGAAAAAAGCTCTTTTTTCCATTTGAAAACAGCTAATCTTTTACGTGACACCAATTATTTTAAGAACAAAGCATATTGATTTATTTAAGGCACATAAATTTCTTCATAGTTAGATGAATCAATAAAATAATTTACAAAAAATGACTGAATTTAATAAAATACTACTGCTACAACATTCGATTTAATTATTTATTTTTTAACATTTAACAATTCTTAAAATATATTACTCGCTTGAAATCAGTAGTTCTTCCTCTCCATCAAGTGAATATTTTCGATTGCATCTTGCTCATTTGATTTCAAAATTTTCTTGCAGTTTATCTAGTGCATCTTCTGCGCTCCATGTCAGCTCCTATCATTGTGTCAATACACCCGTTCAATCAAGTAGCCAGATTTTTTGTCGAAATTTTCCATTCATTTCCAATTTCATTTTGCAAAACATTGAATTTTCTTTCCGAAAGTTTTTGACTCTGAAAACATGCCAATTTTACTCTATTCAATTTGATGTTCTTTTGGAAAAATGCTGCAATAATTTGAGCCTCAACGTCGGGACCTTAACTGAAAGATGCTTCAATTTGGTTGAGAGCTTCCTTTGTGAACATCACCAATTCGCGCTCATTGATTGGCTCTGTCCCTGCTGTGACAAATAAATGGCACAAATTGGTGCTTCTGCCGGTGAATTCGATCCAGCTACGAGACAAACCTGGATAGATTCCATATAAAATTCTTGTAACTGTTCAAATGTTGCATGTTGAGCCAAATCGTCGTTGATTGCTCTAACTAACACTTTTAGAATGAATATTGCATTGGATTTTGATCTGTCGGGAGATTGATATCGTCAGCGGTCGTTGACATTCGGTTCAATATATTTGAGTCATTTAAAATAATTCTTCTTATTGAGCAATGTAAACTTTTACAAAATAACATCGCAACCGATTTTGTTTCACATTAAATTCTCAATTTTTAACATTCATCTAGCTTAATCCGTATTGTTGAAGATATTTTGTGTTTTCACGAATGAATGCTATCTGGCGAGTGTGAAATCACCTCGATTAAAAAAAAACAGATGTACATTCAATTTCAGGAGCGTTTTAATGCATGGAATTGTGATACCAGATCAGAATTTTCGAGCTTGTCAAATGAGCGAGAAATTATTTTGAGTTGATGCCGCTATTCATTTCCATTTTTTACAGATAGAGAATCAATAGAATCTTTGATACTAGGCCCCTGTATCAGAAGAAATAAGCTTCAGTTAAAGTGGGTAGGAAATGCAACCACTTATAGATTCGCATTGTTGATTTCGAAATGCAGGTGCGAATGAGGTCTATTTTCAGAATTCTGACGAAATTTTGAAACATCTGATTGCACTTGCGTTATTTGTTTCGCAAATATTGATTGGAATTTATTTTGAAAAAGTGACTGCAAAATTGAAATAATATATTTCATTTCAAGTGTAGCATTCGTTGAAGACGCACCAGATGGCGAGAACTGTAGCTGCATTGGCAATTAATGCCATTTGGCTTTTTAATTTGATCTTATTACCGAAATGTAAGTACCCATTATTCCTTCATTTAGGATTTTTCAATTTTTTCAATGAATATATCGATCAGGTATAACGGATGAAACTGCACCACCACCTCAAACGACAATAGTACAAACAACACCGGACGATAATCCCGAGAATCATGTTTGTTGCTTTAAAAATGAGGTCGTTTCTGAACATTTGGACGTATGTCGTTTTACGTCATGTGAAAAGGCTCTCGATCCGCCTACAGTTGCTTGTTACGCCAATAATATAAAAAGACTCAATTGTAAATGCATAACAAGGCATTATCGTACTTCAGCTTGGCGATGTGAACCGTTAGAAAAATGTATTGAAGAACAGAAAAATCCACCAAAGTTACCACCAAATCCCGAATGTAGAGCAAAACATACCGAATTGGTCGGGTGTTTGAAACCCAAGGATTTTCGATACTGCCGGTCACAATCATCGCATAAACATCGTTGTTCGTCCTCCTCATCCAGCTCGTCGAGCAGTTCTTCGTCATTTTCTTCGCGCGGCTATTTCTCATCGCCATTTATAAAATTTATCAAAAGCCACGAGAAATCCAATCTATATATCATGAATGTGTGCAACTGCAAGAAAGGCCGTTGTCTCAATCGCTGCGGTGAATGTGTTTTACAGGAAGAATATCGAAGAAATAGAAAAATTTGCCGGAAAATGCGATGCCCTGGCGCAAATGAAGTGGAACATCATGGACGATGCGTATGCAAGGAAAACTACTATAGAAACAAGTGTGGCCAGTGCGTAACAAAAGACCAATTGAAAAATACCATAAATTGCTTATGTTCGTGCCCGTGCGGTGAACATGAAATGCTCAGAAAGTACAATGACTATGATCAACGCACTTGTTTGAATTACAAAAAGTGTTCAAAACAAGAACCAGGAAATAGAAAATACATAGTAGCGTGTGATTGTGAAGACAGTTACTATACAGATACCAACCTTTATGGTCCATGCCATGAAAAATCTCAATGCCGTGATTGCCCAAAAATTAATGGATAATAATTTTTTTGAAAAATATCTATATTCATATTAGACATCATTAGATTTATTATTAGACATTCTCTATTAGAATAAATTTTTTTGTAGAGTTAACAATTATTTCAACATTTGAAAACTGCCATGGGTGAAAGATGAATGATTTTGTCATCTCAATTCAAGCAGCCTATAAAGGAAAAAGAGGCTCATTTCAAAATTGCCTTTCTTTCGAATCATTGTACTAGTATAAGCAGCTTTAAATAATTAAACGGAATATATAAACCCAAATCACGTTTATTTTCTACCTTATATAGAACAATATGGACGGATAAAATATGTCACCTTATATTTGGTTGTGATGAAAACAATACCATCGATGAATTTTGTATGCCGCAAAAGAACGGCAACCTAACCTGTAAACCCGGCTCTACGATTGCACCAACTCAATCAAGTTTTTCACACTGCGCATTTTTTTTCTCATTGTTTTGAAGAAAAAATTTAATTTGGCCAAATTATTTTCATGAAACTGACCGATTGAAAACTCAGATAAATGTTTTTATATAAAACATATTCGTAAACCATTCGATGTTGCTACAAATCATGAGCCATGGAAATAGAAAAATCGACTCTATAAACGTGGTTTACTAAACTTTGTGAACCGACTCTTTAAACTTGTTAAACATTTTTGAAAACGATTTACAAAGATTTGAAAGGTTTCTTAAATTCAATGAAATTTGTTTCATTCAAGCAAATAGATGTTATATTCAAGACGAAAAAAAATTGTGACTCAGTGAACCAGCCCTCAGCAACCCACAGTAATAGTCTATTCAATTTGATTCGCTCAATAAAATCCGTCGCACAGAAAGCAGTTGTGCAGCCGTGCTGTTTGCACTTCGGACTTTTTCGGATACCCATCATGCGTTCGTCGTGTTTCTTATGTGCCGAACGCAACACAGTGAAGCGCAATGGTAATAAATTCAGCAAATCCAAAACCATTCAGAGTTCAGTTTGCATTGCGTTTGTCCCTATCGGAAGATCACTGACTTGAGTAATGAATGACGTTTATCTGACAAATGCCATTCCCAACATTTGCGTAAAGACTTAATCCCAACATGACGAAAGAATTTACTTATACTTCCAAACTATACCGTATAGATGCCGTTAGAGCATGCATTGCTGAATATTTTCCATTTACAGCGCACTTTGTTGGCCGAACGCTCTGTCGAAACTCATTCCATCACTGTGGCCATGCGAATTTTGGCTATGTTTTCATTCTCTGTATCTTCCGTGCTTTGTACGGAATTCGGATTTGAGCGTTCGGCGAATACACACACACACCTGTCTGTGTACTGATTTCGTCAAGCTGACGACACTTCAGTACAAAATATCATTGAGTGCTTGCAGCGCCACGAACTCTCGTATCATTTTGTATTGAAATTTCGTTAGTGAGTTCGCCGTAAAATTCGTCAAAACGTAACGTCACTTTGGATTTCGTTCGTACGAAAAACGATGAACGAATCCATAAACGAAAAAACTGCCTAGGTTGAAGTTTCCTAAGTGTACGATCGACATAATCACAACTCTCTTCGAAATAATGGATCAAGTTGAAAAAATATTTCTACTCAAAAATACAGAACTAAAACCAAGGCGGATTTTGGAATAGAGACAGGAACGCGAAAGTATACGACAAAATAAACGATTCCATAGACGAAAAAACTGCCTAGGTTGAAGTTTCCTAAGTGAACGATCGACATAATCACAACTCTCTTCAAAATAATGGATCAAGTTGAAAAAATATTTCAACCCAAGAATATAGAACTAAAACTAAGTCGAATTTTGGAATAGAGACAGGAGCGCGATAGTATGCGACGAAATAAACGATTCCATGAACGAAAAAACTGCCTAGGTTGAGTTTTCTAAGTTTACTGTCGACATAATCATATATGATTCCATGTGTTGTCGTGTTCGGGTGACAGACGTTTAATACGTTTAATAATCTTAGGATTCAAACGTCGTTAACACGTGCATATGTTTTCCTCTGTTTTCTCGCGGTTTTTCGCTCTTTTCGTGGAGATGGTAAGAGATAATGTCATAGTATCTTCTGTTAAGTTGTGAAGCGGGTAGAGTACTATAACTTTGCTGAAGAAACCAAATCGTCATCTCTCATCACAATCTAGTTTTCATATAAAATACGTTGTATGCCCATAGAGACGGGAATATGCTGCAAAACTGAAAGACGAACAAAAGGTTAAAAGGGACGACTTTTAATGATATATTAATGCAAAATTACTTCGATGAACTACATTTCATGTAGTGCGCAAAAAAGTAGTTTGTTGTGAAGCAACAAAGTAGAATAAGTAACTCAAATCTCATCGAAGCGACACTCTGCGGTATTGTTTCTTTTTCCATAGTAAATTAGGACTTGAAACGCACAAAAAAGATATAACCAATTTTGTGAAATACATAAGTATATAACATAACATTTTATTGACTGAAAATTGCGAATAAACAATTCAATGATTTTTAATAAAATCGCCGCTGCACACAAAACAAATTTTTCCAAGAAAAAAAAGATCATTGCAAATTTTATCATAAAAATTAAAGGGCTATCATATCCGCTAGGTATCGTTTTAGTCGGTTGATATTGAACCAAAAAAAAAGTTCTCAGTGCTTTCAGCGCTTCAAACAAAACCGTTATGAATCTGACTTTTTTCAAAACAAAATAATCCAAAAATATTTTATAATAAAAAAAATGTAGAAAAAAGTTGTAAATTGGATTTCTCAACACACAGTTTATAAAAAATATTTTATTTGCATCAATAAAACTTAGGAAAACTACAATTATTTCACTGCAAACGATTCCCACTTGAAATTTGAAACAACAACACACTTGTCACTTGTCAATATGGCGAATGGGTGTGGTAACGGATTCTCGTTAGATGTCGCTGTTAGTTTCGAAATTTCGAACTTCAACTGAGAATCGTTTGCAGTACAATAATTGTTGTTTTTCTAAGTTTTATTGAAGCAAATAATTTTTTTTTATAAACTGTGTGCTGAGAAATTAAATTTACAATTTTATTTTACCTTTTTTTTATTCGAAGATGTTTTTTTATTTAAAAAAAAGACAGATTCATAACGGATTTGTTTGCGGCGATGGTAGCGATTCAAGCGGCATATGAACGCTACTAAAGCGGCTTTTTAAATTTTATGACAAATTTCATAGTTCATATTGCGAACGTATTTCTTATTCTATATTTGAGAATTTTTTTTTTCTTAAATTCGGAAAAGTTTATTTTGTGTGTGGCGACTAAACGTTTTATGCAACAACTTGGTCGAAGTGAATCTGCATCTTTTCGATCTCGAGTGGTCAATGTGTTAATTGTCTCAAGGCAGTCTTACATGATGGAATTTGGTTCCCCATTTAAAATGTATGGAGCACAGGATTTGAAATCCTTGCGGAAAATGGAACTCTACACGGAAAATCAAATTTCCGGAACTGTAAATCCAACCACGAGATTTGTCACGAGAAAAAATCCTGAGTCTCCACACAAAAAATACGCACATGCATAATTTCGGCTAAATTGTTTCGGTATTTCGAGAATTCCCTCAGCCAAATCAAAGAAAATTGATTATGCTGCCAATTATCATCACCAATTTAGCGCCATACATCAAACAAGTAAATCTTTACAAGTAAAAATGCAAGTTTGTTATTTTTGGTTACATAATTTAATATCTTAATCATGTCCCCCTTCACACAAATTGTATGTTTCATCACTTGATAGAACTGTGGAATGTATCAGTTTGCAGAAAAAAAACTTTTCAGATTTGTTGTCTGATTCCTTAAGAGATCGTTGTCTATCCAACTAGCGATTTAAGTGTGTTCGGAGCGATTTGTGCATCTGCTCCTGGTTGAATTCCACCAGGGCCAGTTCCTGCAAATTCAAAAAATATTCACTTATTCAATTTAAGTTAATCGTTCAATTTAATGCGATTGGGTGTACCGATAATTGGATGGAATCCGTTTTCATCCGCTGTAACATAAAATAAAATGATTGAAAATAAAAATAAAAATATTTCAACTGAAAAATAAAAAAAAATACCTGTATAAGTCACCCAATATGTTATTCCATCAGCTCCAACAAATGAATAAGCACCACTCTTAACTACTGCCTGTTGGTCCCCAATTGTTCTCAGCTCTCCAGCTTCAGAAAAGATCTGACCATTATCCAACTCATAGCTAAAGTTTGAACAAGACACATGTACATTAAATAATTTTTCTTCCATCTTCTCAACTGAATTGTCTATCGAAATGAAATTTGTTCCATTTTTCTCTTGGTTTGCGTTAGCCATACAAAGATGTATGATAACATACGTGAATAAGTAATTTCCAGAGCCATCATTGTTATTCGATTCACGAACAACTTGTGGCTGTGGTTGCAATTGCACTTGTGGCTCTTGAGCCAATGTAAAAGCAACGACTGATAACACAGAAACCAACACAAAGATTTGACGTGCCATTTTTTGCAACAGAGCTCACTTTTGACTTCACTTAAAATTTCGTGGACAACTGATTTGAAAATCAAAACCATCAGACCTTTTATATTCGAGGATTTTCCATCAATTTCAGTTATAATCGATTAAAGTTGCTTCCAATGCACGGTTGATGGTAGGGCATCAGATGAAATATACTTACATTCACATGACATGATTTGGTCGCGTGTCTTGTACTTTACCTTCCAACCGTTTTCAACGGGTTAATCTTACGCTCACCTCAATCGTTATTACGCAAAGTGTCATAATCGATAACGTCTTCACTGCTCATACTTTGTTTACGTGTGTCGGCCCACAAAAGAACGTTGAAACTCGTTCACAAATACCATATGCCCCAAGCTATAAATTATGGTTTCGTTTGTTCAAAATGCGTCGATTTCATATTAATGTTATTATTTTTGAAATAATGACTCGTCTTTCACGCGTCTAATGAACCATCAGAAACACATGTTTGTATGCAAAGAAATGCAAACATTTTTTTTTGTTTTTTTCTTTTCGTTTTACATTTCATACAAAATACAAATTGAGCATAATCAAAATCTTTTATAGTCCATCCTACGGAAATAGACTATGGTAACTTTCAACTTGAATATTTGCATAAAACAAATTGTTCATTCGATGAGTGCCAAAAATAGAACGGATCACGTTGCCGCTATGTTTATGCACTGCATGATGTGCGTCGCATTATTAAACATTTCAACTTGGCTGACATCTTCATATAGGCCCATTAGCTCAGCTGGTTAGAGCGTCGTGCTAATAACGCGAAGGTCGTGAGTTCGATCCTCCCATGGGCCAATATTTTTTTTTCTTTCATTTAAAATTATTTGCACTGGCGATTTCAATTTCTTTATTTTAATTTTATATTTTTCAAACCCTCAACACTAGAATTTTATTTGAAAAGGATAAGGAGTGGTGTAATTTCACGGTCCGTATGAGCATACTTTTAACAACAAAAAACCATAAATTTTGAGGAATATTTAAAACATTCACATTCTCATAATTCTTTTTTGATAAGGAATGTGTGTTGTAAAACTGAAAGTGAATGCGAGCTAATGGGCCAGCTAATGGGCTTCTAACCAGCTGAGCTAGTGGGCCTTCGAGAATCAATTGGTCAGATCCAACAAACGAGATCAATGGAAATACAAATCAAAAAGTGACAAAATAGATGAGTTTAAAACTGTATCAACAATATTTTTCTTTTTTTACCCAGAAATCAGTATCGACTCTTTAAACCAAAACCAATACAAAAGTATGGAAAACAATTGTTTGGAATTTTTTAAAAGTGATTATTCGAAGGTAGAATGGAAAACATTGAATTATTTTCATCATTCATCAAATAGGAGGAATATACGAATGATAAGCGTTAAAAAAATAAAGAACAATAGAAAGACACGAAGAATTCCTCGTAAAGATTTAGGTAATATTATTTCATCAGTTATCTCATCACTTCTTCAATGTTTATAAAGATGAATCCTCCGCAAAGGTCATGACTGTGGGTCATGATTTTTTTCTTCATTATTTGCGGTGTGTTAAACCATCATCGGTTTCGCACGATAATTTAATTTTTTTGTCCTAGCAACAGGCAACACCCGTTTTTTTTTATTGTAGCAGGTAGCATTATCACTTTCACATCCAACGAACAGTGTGCAATGTACGGTAAACACCAAATTGAAAGTGGCATAGGTCATAGCGGTTAGGTTTCAGTAATTGATATTAACTGTATTCGATGAGCATTCGCGTGTTCAAGGCACTGATTTCGTCAAATTGAAATGATAATGACATTTAAACAACATCAAAAAATTTTGTCCATCATCGCAACTGCCTACGGCAACAATTTAATTGATATATGTTTTGCCGTAAATACATACAATCAATTTTACATCAAATTGGATTACTTCCAAACAGACAGAAGTTTAAAGTGAGTTTTTATCTGACCTGACACACTCTGAGTACGGTTCGGAAACGAAACGTTCGGGCGCTAAGTCAAGAATTTCGCAACTTAATGCAGAAATGGTTACAAACAAGGAGAACAAACATCCATATTCTGGTAACTTTTTAGGTCACTCAAGAAAGAAAAAAAACTTATGGAATTCCTTCATTGGTTTTATCATTTCTTTGTACGGGAAACCATGTATCTGCGAAACAAGTCACTAATTTTGATATTCGTATTAAGTTGTGCAAATCGATTCAAATGTCATTCAGCAGCACGTGTGAAAGCCATATCCAATGTGATTCTTTTATAAGAAGACTATAAATCTGCTTATACATTTACATCGATGGAGACGGCATGATATTTTGATTCCAACTATTTATCGAAGACATTCGTTGAAAAAAATGATTCAAACATTGTAAAAATAATTTAATAATAAATAACCGAACTGGAACCATTTTTCAGCAGTAAATTATTTTGGAGCGAAAAAAGAACTTAACTCAACTGTAGCAAAGTATATACACTGAATGCACCATCGATGATGGTCCACCATAAAAAAATTTAAATCATTTCGTGTCAAATGAATTGATGGACAGTGTGGATTGCAGCCAACTTCATTCATTGTTTCATTGACAGTTGTCAAGTCAAACAAAACTTCGTCGCAACATTAACAACAAACTCTAACCGTAGAAAGGTGTAAAAATAATTTAACGGATCGAAATGGGTGATTTTTTTTCAAATAAATGTATCAAACTCTCAAAATGACGTGGTCAGCTTTGAAAAAAAAATTCCAAGGGACATAAAAATTTCCGAATAATTCTTGGAATAGGTAAACATTTGTTTTGATTGCTACGATTTTGTGTTCGGCTTCACTGTGACTCATCGATAACTTTTAATGGAATTAACCAATTTGAATCGACATGAAATCACCTTGACAGAATTTCCAATTTTCAGGGCAAGTTGGAAATTATAACGGGCGCCAGTGCTGGCACAATGCAATTGCAGTTGTTCAAAGGTGACAAGTTGATAACACAGTTGAACGATGATGAAAATGAGCTCGGATCATTTCCCATTGAAAATAATATGCGAATACACGTTGTGGACAATTCCTAGAGTTTTATTGGCGATAGGAATGTGGAAAAGTTCGATTTAACCGAGAAAAAATACGATCAGCGTCGCAAAACCGTACGAGAGTAACTTAAAGCAAATCGATTGGGCAAATACAATGAAGAAGAAATGAAAAAAAAGGAGGAGCAACTCCAGCAAGAGAAGAAAGCTGCTTCGATTAACATTGGCGACCGATGTTTTGTGACAGCAAAAGGACCTCGTCGTCTTGGTACGGTCAGATACAAAGGTGCATTTCATGTGAAACCGAGCATTCTCATTGGCGTTGAATACGACGAGCCTCTTAGCATTCATGATGGAACTGTTGACGACAACAAGTATTTCGAATGTCAACCGAAATATGGGAGTATGGTACCCATTGCAGCGGTTGAGGTCGGTGATTTTCCGCGAGAAAATGATGGAAACGACGACGAGGACTATGGCACACACAAGTATGGCACACACTGCGCGCACCCAATGAAACAAAAAAAGACAAACAACAAATAGAGAGAGTTCAGGCTAAGTTTTTCAAGCATAGCTTCTTGAGTTTGGTTTGCGATCAATGTTGCGATCATATAAGAATTGCCTATTTCACTCATCAACATATTGAGATTCAAATTGAAGAGAAGAAACAAAGACACGAAGGAAAAGTTAAACACACACACCACATTAAAATAACTCACATTTTATTTAATCGGTCTAAAAAAAACTTGAGCAACATATTGAATTTGTAATACAATGTTTTGAATAAAATAATTTGTTCACAATCTAAAAGTATCTGAATTTCATTTTTAGCTAGTTACTTAACGTAAAATTTAATTATATACAAAAATACGATATTTTTTTTCTCTCTCGGTCTTTTACATACAATGATTGTTTTCCTGCTATGTTTTTGGCTAAAAAAAATATTTAGACACTAATTAGTTCAATTACAATTTCTATGCGTATAATCTCTGTCTCTTGTTTTATCCGTCCGTATCATGCACAGCAGAATAGAATTGATACAATAATTAAAATCTAGACAAATATATTCGCTCATTTATCGCCAGCCAATATGATTTGAATTTCAGTGTTGCTCTTGCCTTTCGTTTCGAATAGGCAAATGTAACCGTAAACTGTACCGACTACCATAATCGCACCAAAAATCCAGAATGTCACTGCTCCGCCGAAACCTTCAATCATTGGTTCAAATGATTTTGTGATGATGAACACAGAGATCCAGTTGAATTCTACGGTGAATGAGGTGGCAATACCCTTGATATCAACCGCCAACATCTCGCCCATCATCATCCATGGAATTGGTCCGTAGCCCAAACTATATGACCAAAAAAACAACAACAACAACAATATCATCAGTGAGGAGAGTTCATCTTCAAAAGATTGTTTTTCAATGTACCTGAAGCAAATGATAAAGAGGACCAAGCTGAGCAACGGAATGATGCCAATGTTTGAAACATCATGGTTATGATCTTTCAAATAGAAGTAAACACCCAGCACAAACAAACACAATGCCATAACCATACTGCTCAACAAAAGAAGAACTTTGCGACCTGCGCGTTCAACTAATACAGCCGCTGCAAAGGTCATTAGCACTTGCACTACGCCCACGATAATTGCACATACATTTGGATCCAAGTTGCTGCCTGCCGCTTTGAAAATTCCCACCGAGAAGAAAATGACGGCGTTGATACCCGAAAATTGTTGGAAGAACATCAAACTGACGCAAATGAAGAAGCCACGGCGATTGGCTGTAACAGCAAACAAATCACGAATCGATCCCGAACCACTTCCGGCTGCCTCCAATTCATTCTTGATAGCTTGAATGGCGCCATTCGCATTACAGTGTCGGCCCCAGAACCATTTGATTGCTGTTGCTGCTTCTGTTTCGCGGTGCTATTGAAATACAATATGAAATATTTAAAAAAAATAAAATAAATATATTTGAATCTAGGAACATGCCATCTTAAACGAATGTGCACAAGAACGTACGTTTTTCAACAGCCAAATTGGACTCTCCGGCAAGAAGAACAAACCGACCAGATTCAATACCGGCATAGCCAGACACGTCCAACTCAATGTGATCCAACTGGTGTACGCTCCAATCACAAAGACGAACAAAATGCCAACCGTGAGAAATAGTTGGAAACACGTTCCAAGCATACCTCGAATCGATGTTTCAGCATATTCACTTATATAAACCGGGCATACAACGCATGAGCCACCAATGGCAATACCTAGTTTAAAGAAAATTAGTGCGTATATTATCTTGTGAGCAACAAGTGGTGACAACGTTTGTAACATGCTTTGAACAGATAGTCTATTTATCTGATGAAACTCGAGTTTGTTTATTGTTGACTTTATCGAAGAAGAAAAACAGACATGTATGAAATCAATTATCATGTACTATTCATATCAGCGGCATACTTGTTTGTTTTCATTTTTTGTATGGTGTAAACATCAAGTATGCGGGCGAGCGGTCGTGAGAGGGAGGAAGCGGACAAACAAACTCGATTTTGGGCCATTTGTAAAAACATTTTACAATGTAAACGTACCAATGAGTAATCGAGCAGCATACAGCCACATAACGTTTTGGGCGAAAACAATTAGAAGATAGCTGATAATATAGGGGACAGCAATGATGATAGCAGTCTTCTTGCGGCCAAGTTTATCGGCCAAAATTCCAGACGGTACAGCACCTGTGTGTATAAGTTAAAAAGAAGATGTAAGAAGCTAAGCAACCAAACCACGATGACTAATTTCGTAATCATTACGGAGCTTTGATTGTAAATAAGGACTGAGTTGTAAAAATGTTTAAATAATAATGGATATCCATTTTTGCACTTTTTATACATTTTATACATTTTTATTAAATTAAAAGAATTTTGCAATATAGAATTCCGCAATTGTGGCCAGTTTTCATGGTTGGATGATTTTTCGAATAGACCAAAGCCAAATTGCGGAACATACATACCAATGATTGCTCCAATTGCGAGAAAAGATGCGATCCATGTTCCTTCATCTTTTGTTATGACAATCGGTGAGTTGAAACTTTTCAGTTGATCCAAAACTGGACTTGTCCATGCTAGTCCCGTGCCAGCTGCGGCTGCGCCCAAGCAAACTAATGGAGAAAAAGACAATTTTGATAAGACCGGCTTCGTTGTCAAAGGAGATTGATTTTATTTTGTTTGGCTTTGTTTCCATCTTTTGTTTACACATAGAGAGAGAAAATTGCGTTTCTTGGTGTTAGTGATTCTTTTTCTTGATTCTGACTCAAAGTTTTTTTTACTACTATGAAACATTTTTCTTTTCGCCGAAATTTTTTTGATTGTGTTGGTGTCCGAAGAAGAATCGGTCATTTGTCAAATTCGCACCAACACAAACAAAAAAATTTCAACGAATTTTTTTTTCATAGTGCCAATTTTTTTTTTTGCCAGAATCAAGAAAAAGAATCACTAACACCAAGAAACGCGACTTTTTTTTCCTGTGTGTGCAACACAAAGTTATGCTTTTTTTTCCTACAGAAAATCGCCGATAATGCATTCGCGGTGACATCGACGACCTTCAAGATGTTTTTTTCTTCAAAATAACAACTATATATTGGTGACGTTAGTTATAATCTAGATCTGGTTTAGTGAGTAAATTGCAAAGTAAAAGGGAAAAATTCATACTAATCACTGTTGCTAGATATTGTTGGCTTTTTGTTGTCTTGCTCCCTTGTAAGGGATCGTAAAGCATTGGACGTGCGTCAGGATCATCGCCACGTTCGTTAACCGTCTGAAAAAAGAGAAGAACCAATTGATCATGAATGCGGCAAAGCAATGCAAAATATGACATAAGAAGAGATTAATATCGTTCAGTTTACACTATATTACTATATGAATTATAAATAGGGATAAGGAAAGGAATTGATCAGCACAAAAATGTGTGCGTCATTAAAGCATTAGAGTTCATTGTAAACAAGAAGAGACAACAAATTGTTAAGAATTCAAACTATACCGAAAGGACATTGAATTCGAATTCAAATTCAAATTACGTTGCTATTGCGCCTCGATGTGGTTCGTTACTACGACCGAGATATACAATATCTGTAGACTGTTGATGCGGCGCATATAGTGGATTTCGTAAGAAATTTCAAACGATTCACATTCACATGTGTGACCAAAACATCAAAACAAGCGATGTACGCCCCGCTCGTCACGAGGTGTATGTATGAAAGTCGATTTGGCTTTTTTTGATCTATTTTTAATTCAATTTTTACGTAGTTTTTGCGTTCATATGGTCTTTGTAGTTGAACAACAACATTCGATAATTTGTAGTTTTTGACCATAAAATTACCTCATTTACTATTATTAATGCGGAATTGATTAGTTTTCAATATCAGGCAGCGTTCAATTTATTACTATTGTATGAATGGCGCACAATGTGAAAATAAAATGTTGTCTTTCCGTTTTTCGTGGCTATAAAAAAATCACACGTTGAGGAATTATCCGCTCTACTCGATCCAATAATAAAATTGTATGGCGAACAAAATTGGATTAATTCCTACTGCACACACTTGAGTCATTGAGTGTGTTAGTGTGTGAAGCATGAAGGTTCCGGCAATTTTTTTTTTCGCGATTTTATCAATCTGTAAACACTTTAAATGGCAAACGAATGTGTGTCGATAGCAAAAAAGGGTACTTTTAGGTTGATCGATCGCCAAGCGCCCGTTCTGAATAGAATCACATGTCATTCCATCGAATCGAATCGCGCGCATTGAAGTGGTTAATGGTTGTGGAAACACAAATTTTTTTTGCAATGATATGATTGAGTAGTTGATGAATGCTCACTTCGACAAGCTAACGCATATGTCATCATATTGCGTCAATACGAAATATCAACGAATTCTTATCTTGTCGCCTGTTGTTCAATCGATCGTTTCGATCGATCGAGGGAAAAAAAATTACACATGAATTCAAAATCAATATTTACCAAACGTACGTAACTCTTGTATGTGTGTGCACAAAGCAAATGTTGACACAAATTTATTTGATTTAAACGCAGCCTGACAATTAATGCTAAGTGCAAGGCGATGATTTATTTTCATTGATCAATTTGAATTGATTGGGTTTAAGGCGTGATGATGGAAATGCATTCGACAGTTCACTGTTTTGCACTCGGCAAAGCAAGTGTACTGAGTCGGTGTAAATATACATATATGGGTATGTGTCATGACATTCAGAATGTCGTTTCGAATGGAACGAGTGAGATTAGCAGTACATGGAAAAACTGGTAAAGGTCAAGACTATCACAAGATTTCACTGAATACCTGCCACCATCGAGCCATTGCTTGTGTCATTTTATCCGTATCCATATTTTATTATTTTATGATCTTGTTCCAACCGTGGAAAAACTCAACAAGTATGTTAAGTACTTGAAAAAAAAGTAAATCAATTCGAATCGAATGGAATAAAGTTGAAGTTGACGACGGCGTAATCAGCCGAAGCAATTGCACGAGAAAGTTACATAAATTTTCTTTATCTCGGTCAATAACGTTTGAGTCGCCGTGCACGGACGAATAATACACGATTTTCCTTCTTTTCAACGGACGCCTCTCATATTACAATTTTTGTTTTTCTTTTTTTTCTTGTTAAGCACAAAGCCTTCAAACGATCAGAGGCACTTTACTGGATGGAAGTTGATCTCAATCACCTTCTTATCTCCAGGTCAGTGTAAAGTCCAAAAAATTTGTCAAAAAAACTGTTTTTACTGTCCAATTTCGCTGCTTTTTAATCACTTTTAAAGTACTCGAAACGATATTGATTGCACGACGGCTAGAGAAAATCTATTTGCAAATTCGTGTGAGAAATGTGAAAGGCCTGAAATATCTATCATGATCGCGCAGCTTCAATTGCTCTTACTCTCCCGCTTGTTTCTCGGCAAACGATACAAATTGAAGACGGGCTATTTTTAGGTTTGTTGTTGAAGACAACGAACGCATTACTCTCTTTCTCTCTCTCTCTCTTCTACTTGCTCATGCATAGGATAATACGAAAACGCAGTCATCTCTTAATGAAATTGCCTCGATTGAGGAATCAAATACACGTCTAAATATTTATTTGACATGCATATTCATTGATTGGGCTCTTGACTGTATCGCAACTTGCCTTAATTTTTTGTGCACCAAATGCACACACAAACATTTCATTCGTCCTAGTATGCATTTCGTTTTATGCTCTCTTTTGTCGACACTTCTCGTTTTTTCCACTGCTTGTTCGCACATTTGTTCGGCATTCTGTGCCATGCTCATGAATATGCAACGATGTACGTCAATAATATTCTGTATAGAACGATTCGTATGCGAGAAGAAGAAAAAGAAACACTGTAAGAATTGACGTACCTTTCGGTTCGCGCTCAGTGATTGGCGCACTCAAAATGTGTTTCTGCCGCACCACAATCTTGTATGCTAACCGTTTTATATATACAGCATACACTGTATCTTGGTTACTATTTCAGTTTGGATTCTATTTTTTGTTTCGTACTCTCGTTGTTTTTATCTCGTCTTTGCTTCGGTTTCGGTTTCGGTTTCGGTTCCGATCATGTCATAGCTACAAAATATTCTTTCTTATTCGTCCGAGAAGCGTCGTTATTTGCGTGCAAATTTCGGAGGAAATCACAAATATTTGGAAACAAACATTTTTTTCATCATCAAAAAAGGGAAAAAAAACCGACTGACCGATTGTGTTTGTGATGGCGACTATGGCGACAACCAACACACACATGAATTCTTGCAATTTGTTTCTTTTTCTTCGTTTTAATGTAAATAAACGATTCGAAAATACATTTAAAAATATCAAAAACCCACTCTAAGATGCTCTTAAAACGCAAAGACCCAATCGCAGCGCTCGCAGCCGATTGGCCACTCGAAACACGTTCTACAAATAATGTTTTCAATTCGATTTGCTAAATTAATTATCAACTCAATTATCACTATAGATGACAATTTTTATTACCTTCTTAGCAATATCATAAGATTGCTTCATGTTTTCCCTCGATTTGTGGGTGATTTGTGTTCACTTGACGACAAATACTGTGGCTGATTCGCACACACGCAACGCAAATTATGCAAGAATTTAAATGATAATTTCAACTTTTAGATTTTATTTGTTTGTTATCGACGAATATTCACAATAGCTCAACACATAGAATTTAAAATGGCAATGCTCAAGGACGACTTTTTAAAAACACGAAAATCTACTCTCTAATTTCGGACAAAATTGAAACTAAACATAAAATTTGGACGGAATAAAGTACAAAACAGTTTAAATGCAATAAGTAGAGTAGTGTGGCTACGTGAGAGCAGACGAAAGCAGACTAACTGTTTGGTGATGTTCATCACGGAGAGTTCGATGCTGCGTTTAAATTTCCAAATAGACATCGAAAGAGAATAACGAAATAACAGTTGTGTACATTTGAGACTGCGTTATTCTTGCACGTATTCAGATAGCGCAAGACTCACAAAAATGGTTTTATCGAATGCAAAGTGTGAGAGACGGCACAACAAGAGTAAAGAAACTGCATGCTGTGTCATTTTGGTCTCTCTTCTTTTTAAGCGCCCTTTTATGCGACGGCGACGACAACATCGAGAACGACAACGAAAACGACAACAATAAAATAAGAGTATCACATTCTATTTCTGGTTAGCGTTCGTTGCATCGTCACTTCGATTACGAAGAATTTGAAAAATTCAACAGAATATCAGAAATTGACTACGTTCAAGCCTATTTTACGTACTTTGAACTTGGCCTTCAAATTTGTCACACTCGTTTAAAATTAACGTTCCTACCGTATGATTACTTCCAAAAACATCCGGTATAACGTTCTGCGAATTTTAACACTTGATGCTGCCTATTCATATAAGTCGCATTTCGTTTTGCGTTTGGGAATTTGGTTAAAAATGTTCATAAATTCAACTTACCCTGGGCTGTGCTACAGCCGGTTTCTCTGTTCCAGTCATGTTCAGTCTTTTTTTAACTCACGTAATTTAATAACTGCGGCAAACACACCGTTTCAACAGATTGGAAAAAGAAACAAAACAAATGAAAAAAAAACGAACAAAAAAAACTAATTCACAAAAAATGCACGTCAAACATAAAAATTTGGGAACGTTGACTATTTCACGATGGCCTCCACGTTCGATGTGTAACGAACGATAATCTGATCTAAACTAAACGCTATGAACTGATGTGATTCCAGACCGAAATTAATAAATGCTCATGTCCGGAGCTCATCCAAGTGAATGCAAGAGTGAAGAGAGCAGCCAACCGCTTCGGTATCAATATTTTAATTCTATTTTATCAATAAATTGAATGTATACAACAACAAAAAAACGCCGACAGAAAACAAATAGAAAAAGTAAAACGCTTATGTATTACACACGTTACTGATAATGTATGCGATATGTGTGCGTGGTCCGAAAGCGATACGTGTCGGTTGTGAGATGTTATTCGTTGGCATAACATATACGCCATACAAGACTGCCTACGAGAGATATAAAATATTTTCGAAAAAAATACAAAAAATCCAAGTACTCATCGTTTCTATATATATATATATATGTGTGTGTGTGTGTGGATGGGTCTGTGCGCAGCCGTTTTTGTTTTCCTAACAAGATGATTACCCACTGTTACAGAATGGGCAAGAAAAATTTATTAACTGAAATCTCTTATTCCGGTTTTTTGCCTGCTTTGTGTCTTAATTTTGCAATTTGGATTAATTTACATTGATTCAACGTACGTATATTCATACCTACATTCATCCATACACTCACATATAATTCCTCGAATACGTTAACATTATGTGATTAAGTATGGGCTGGGAGCAGTGAGAGCAGATCGTACGGACTCTGCCATTATCACTTTACACTGTACAAACGTTTCGGTTATCATTCAATTTTTGTGCATTGGGTTGACTTTATTTTTGCTTGTTATTCCGCTTTTGTGCTCCGCACTCAGTCTTTGTTCACTCAAACATGAATATCAAATTACATTCCGTTCAAAGTTGAAATGGCACGAGATATCTTTTTCATTGTTCATGCTCTCACCACTTGTATTTACTATACAAACTCCTTTGCCAACGAAACCGGTTCAAATGACCGAAATATTTGAAATTAGTGTAAATAATGGCTACATTTGTAATTATTATTATATGTTGACACCGATTTGATAAATTTTGTTTAAATTTTTGTCGAAACAGATGTTTAACACGCGCACAAAAAAAAGTCTGCTCAAATTTTAGGCTATGTCGAAGTAAAGCTATTTATTATTGAGTTATTTCAGAAATAAACGACGACGAACAAACAGAATACCGACGTTTCGCTCCTCGAATTCGCTTTTATTTTATTGAACTTCATATCATCAGTACAATTTACGACCGGAAACCTAACAGTTGCTACCATGGATATTTGAAGAGAGTTTTTTTTTGCTTGAAAATTTTATTTTCTGATTAGATTACTTTGAGATAGAAAGAGAGAGAGAGAGCAAAGAAAGTAAATAAATTTGGTGATCTTCGATCATAATTGGGCTAAAACTATTCGGTTTCATTTGTGCTAAATGTAAAAACGTTTCAATTTTCGCGCAAAACGTAATCCATTCAGCCAATTCACTCATCGGTTGTCACATTCAGTTTTCGAACGAACACAGTCGTAGGTGAACCAGTATGAACTCTGAATATTTGACTATTTATTTAACACATTTTCGAACGGTTGTGATTGCTGGCAACGGCACACAACGTCTTGTTGACATGAGCTTCTTTTGCTTCGATACTTGTTTACGGAGTTCCGTCAAATTTTTCTCGGCGGCTCGTTTTCGCTGAAAAAAATAATGAAGAAGAGAAAGAAATAATGAAAAAGACGCACATTGTTCACACAATCGCATTGTTTTTCTAAAGAAACATCTTGTTTTCCATCTACATCACAACGTACAATTTACATCAAGTATGACTCGGTCTATCTATTTAAATACAGCATACAATACTTGTTTTTTTTTTTCAATTCCCTTCACATTCCATACCTCAGTTTCATGTTCCAAATTTTGTCTTGCTTGACATATTTTGTGACGCAACTCAGAAATGGTTTTGATCAACCGCTCGGCGCTAATTTGAAGATAGCCCTTTTGCCAAAAGATAAAAAAAAAATCAAGCAATTTACAAAACAATGAATTAATTTGTTTTTGTCGATGTTTTGTTGGAAGTTTACCATATTTGCTGACGGTTTGTTGGTGCAGTGCAATCTTCCGTGAATGTGGCCGTGGCCGTGTCCTGATAGAATACCATCCGGGTGACAAATTCGGGGTGGGATAGTAGGCAGCTCGATAGGTGTTGTGATTTCATGTGGATGAGCATGACTCAAGTGCCAGTTGATGTGTTCAATTTGATGGATCACCTTTGAATGTTCGTCAAACAGATCGTGACCGATATGCTCCATTTCCATAAGTTGTTTTTTCCTATCCTTATTGAACTTCGTTTTACGCGACGTTTCAAACTCTTCCAGGTCCTTCAATTCATTTCTTAACGCATTATACTTCGATTTAATTTCATAGCGTTCATTTAGCTGCGCGTTTATATCGTTCAATAATTTTATCTCTGCGTTGGAAAAAAAAATGGATAATGAAAAATCTTTCATATATTATTTATATTTTATCACACATGTAAACTGGATAGATTTCGAAAGAATTTATTTTTCTTTTTTACAAAAAAAGAATTTTTAATCACACGAACTTTGCTGATTTTGTTGGACGAGATTTTCAATTTCCTCAAAACTATTCACCGATACCATTGCGCACAGTTACTTCGAAACACTTCGATCGAATGAGTAGTTTGGCCTCGTTGCTCGACAAACAAGGTGAAACAGGAGAAGGAAATCCGAGGGAAACAAAGGATACTCAAAATTTCATTGCGACAAATAACATGAGCAATGAATCAAAATTGCTTTCGCATAAAATATAGGTGGATTAAGGTTTTAACGGTGTTTCGAGTTGGGCTGGCTTCTGTTCATGTTGTACATATATTCTCTATGCACCCCTTCTAACAAAAAAAAATAGCTCCATGACAAAGAACATGCAAAATCATTCCATTTAAACACGTTATTCGCATTTCACTGCCTATTTTTAGAACTATCTACTTAAATATTACGGAAAATACGGATTTCATGCAATAGCATTTGGTTTTGATTTCCCTTTATCTATTTGCCAGCGATAGAGCTGTTTTGTAGGGAGTCAAACAAGTGTGTGACATGGCATTTCGAACATTGCCGTCGACTACATGCTGAAATCGAATAGTAGCGCCCTGTTGTTCAACCGAAAATAATTCCCTTTTTCAAAAAAATAAATATTAAAATACAAACTTTTTGATGTCAATCAACGACGTATCAGAATACATGACAATAGCTTTGCCATCGTATTTTTGGTTAGCATTGCATGTGATTATATACAGTCATTCAAACTTATTCCACGTGGAAACTTATTTAAACCAATAAATTAGTAAGCTCAATTGGTTTCAACCGAATTCCAAGCAGCATATCGGAATTTCAAACGTGAATCGACACTGGAATTGAAAACACAATGGATTTTCTTCGAATTCGGTTTGATTCACAACAAAAGATAGCGAGAAATATTCTTTGTTATCGCTATACAAATAGGAAGAAAGTCATCGACTTACGGAATTTATGATGTCATTTGCTACCTAACTACCATCGAACATGCGAATCTGTGTAATCGGTTCGATCCGGCAATTGTGTCAGAACGCAGAAAATCAATAATAAATACCAATCAAAAGAATGTTTGGTTTTGCTTGACGTCTTCGGCGAACAGTGTGTGTTATTCAACACAATAGCTAGTGAATGGGTACTTAGCTGAGCAATGCTGCCTCAAAATTACATGAGTCAAGAAAAATATACCCACTTTTTTCTGCTTTCTATACAATATTGATTTATTTAAATTCAATTGAATCGGTACAATTGGAAAACATTGGTTGAAAATGGAACATTTCAAAAACAGGGCGAATTGTGTTTTTATATTGTTGTTGTGATTTCAGTAGTCAACTAACTTCCTTGGCCGATCATTGTTTCGTCGGCGCTCCGTTGACTTGCTCCTACGTCGATAGTCTTTCGATGTTGAACGTCTCTTGCTACGTTCACGGCTTCTTCGATGTCTGGAACTATCGCGGCTGTGCCGTCGATACGAATTTTTACCGCGTTCTCTTCTCCTTGATTCATACGATCTGGAACGAGAGTGACATGAACGACTGCGTGAACGATACCTTGATCTTTGACGTGTCTCAGTTCGATTGTTTGCTGAACTATGGCTGCTCGACGCGACTGAGCCATCGCTCTTGTCACTCTCCCCGCCGGGGGAACCGTATTTGTGGCGCAATTCGCGTTGTCTACAAATTAAAATTAAAGTTATTATTAGAAATGTGAGCCCGTAATGGTTGTAATCAAATGGTGAGAAGTAAGAGATATGAAGTCGATTTCATTACCTTCGTCTTAGTCTGAGAGCCATTTCTCGCATTTCATCGTCACGCTCTTGTTGTTGCTGAATTTGCCGCTCATTCTTTTCGATTTCAGCCATTTTATCAGCTTTATCTGCAAATATTCCAATGAAAATCGATAAATAATATGAACTTTGGTATTTGATAAGTATCTCAACGATATACATACATTGCTTGTTCAATAAAATTTGCATTTTCTTCTTCAGTCGATCACGTGGATTCAATGCGGGTCTCGATGCAGCGCCAGACGATGTTGAATCCTGCAAAATATAAAGCACTTTTAGTTTTATCGAATGTGAAGAAACGCACACGCAATAAGAGAACATATAAACAGGAACAAAAGCAAACACGTTTCAATAGACAATTCACGGGGTAGTTTCTGTTTCATAAACTAACATTGAGGCTTGTTCGGTTTTCCGTACACTGAACAATTTGAGTTAAATATTGGTTTAAATGTATTATAACATGCAGGGGATGAATGCATTCTAGGAAGGCTGTTACCACATTTAAAGCACAATCGGAATTGGCATCATCTGTTCAGTGTTGCATGTATTTCCATATGAATTTGAATATGAATCAAAGTCTACGGCAATGAACTGATGAATTGTGCTCAAACAATAATGACTGTGTGTTTTTTTTTCTGTGTAAATTCATGTCTTTTGTGCGACCAATAAAATCTGTTTTATTTTCAGTTCAATAATTGGCGTTGGGAAAAATGAAAGTGAATTATTCTTACTGACTTTGGTTTGGATGATTGCTGCTTTACCAAGATTTATATTTTTAACAGTAGATGACGTTGAATCAGATCTAAAAAGAAAACAGGAAAAAAAACACACTCGATAAATAAAAAATGGTTTTTATCATATAAGTATATAGAGCCAATTATATTCTTTATGTTCTTACTTCGACTTTCCGGTCGATTCGGGTTCTTCGAAGAGCTCAGCCTCCGACGAAGAACTTTGACTGTCTCGTTTTCGACCGTAATATTTCTTAATGGGAACTTGCACTTCAGGCAATTTTGGCTCCTCTCTAATTACAGGCAGCGCTGATGGAGGTATTTCGATTGGTGTTGGATTAATAGGTGCTATTATTGTTGGTTTTTGATTTGAAGGCGTTGATTTTTCAACTATTCGAACTGGCTTTTCTGGTTCCTTGGCTGCTTAGAAATGTTTACAATTTAAAGAATTGTACTGATCGAAAAATTCGAGAAAAAAAAGAAATTGTGTTTTCAGCGGAGCTGCGACTTACTTTGCGGTTTTGAATCTAAAATGGGTTTTTCTCGTCCCAAAGACTTTGAGCGTGCTTTTGTGGTTACTATGCGCGGTGGTGAAGGTCTCGTGGAACTGCTGCTACTCTTGGATGTTGACGAGCTCGACGATGAGCTGGACGACAATGAGCGATGCAGTCGGTTTCGTCTTTTAAAATCAATATTTACTTGTTAATATTGGGAAAAAAAAAATAATTTCGAATATTGTCCATGGCAAACAAACCTTTTCGATGATGAGGAAGTGGATGAAGACGAAGACGTCGAATAACGTCGGCGATGGCGGTCTCGCGAATGAGAACGACTTCTATGATATGTTCGGTGCCTTCTTGACGATGAACGTGATTGCGAACGTCGATACCTCCTCGCTGTTTGCGTTGACCTGAAGTTCCGATGATATGATGATTTCGAAGGTGAACGAGATCGACTCTTCGTGTGTCCACGCCTTTGATATGCTAATGGTTTCCTTGGCGATTTTGGTTGATCGTTCAAATGTTTTAGTTTTTCTAGATTTTGTTTAACTTTATCAGCATATGATACGGTTTCGCCGCTGGCGATTTTCGCTGCATTTGCAAGACGGTTAGCCACCAGTTCACTGCCCAATGTGCCCTTGGCCGTTTTATTGAAGTTTATCGATATTTTCGAGTGTGAAGTCAATTCATCCTCTCCGCCGAAAGATGTGATGTACGTAATCTGAAATGAACAAAAAATGCGTTTCAATTCTGAAATAAAATCTTAATTTCGCCGCAATTCAATCATACTTTTCCGGAATTTTCAGGTGTTGGTGATCGCGAGTCGGAATCATTCTTATCTTCGGCTACGAGCTTAGCAGATTCTTCTTTCGCCGCATAGCTTGGCGGGCTGATTGTTTGACGGCCTGCAAAACGTTTCTCTCTCTGTGCACGTCTTTCTCGCCGACTTTTGCGTCCGCATAAAATGATTTTTTCTTGCTCTTCCTCACGCGCCATTCGCAACGATTCCGCTTCATCGGCATCTTTGGTGAGGAATGAATAAAAGTCGTTACTATGCATTCCATATGAACGTCCATATCCATTCAATTCGTGCGCCTGTTGCGTGTCAATTTTATTTATATCGATTGAAACATCAACATCGATATCGGAATCGGATTCATCCTGCGCTGAATTACCACCGGCAGCACTGGCAATTATACTAGCCGAATTGAAGCCACTTTGATTTTGATCGGCTATATCGTCCTGATTGTATGTATAGCCAATAGCGACACCACCACTGTTAGTGCTATTGCTTTTCTTTTTTGCTTTTTCCAATTCCAATTGCTGGGCATTCACGCCGTACTGCTCTTCCAGGTGCAACTGATGCAAATATTTGTCTTCATTTATTCCGAGAAAATCATTTTGTGCTAAAATCCGAAAACTCTCATAGTTGCATTGGCGCTCCTCTTGGCTGGGTTCATCTGGTTCTAATTTTGTTAACGGGGGAATGTAATCTAAATGCGCACGTACGTCAAATCGATCAATCAAATTATCTGTGTGTCCTTGCCAAGGCATCCTGTAAACGCAAACACACCACGTCTTATAAAAAGCTATTCAATGGTTCATTATGGCTATTTGAAATCCAAAAGGGAATTTCATTGCCCACAATGTGAGCGAAATATGACTTGCATGATGGCTGGACTCTCGCCGGCCGCAGCAACAGCGGGATCAAGATGAATTTTACATCGACGGCCATGGATTTGCATAAATTGCGTTGGATCGGCTTTCTACAATGAAACAACAAAATCAACAGGCATCTCTTTTAGTAACATGAAAAGAGTAATTGTCCCATTGGATAGATTTTCACATTCATTGCACTAATTTCACTCACGATTTTTTCATAAAAATCTTGACGACGTTCAGCGCGCTTGCGATAGTCTACAAGCATACCACGTATCTTACGCTCCTGTTTCCTGTTGAAGACAAACAAAAAAGATGATGAACCAGACATGTAAATAGAACACATTACTTTATTGTTACATTTCACATTTATAGCTACGTACCTTGCTTCTGCCCACATTTTTGCGCTTATCCGAAAAAAAGTAAAGAGAATTTATTTTAAAATATTGATATACGGATTCGGTTATTTGATTGGATTTTTTCTAATTTTGGTCATCATCATTGTTGCGATTAGTCTTTTTGACAGACTGAAAATGGTGTGTGAGTGTGACTTCAAAAAAAAATTGATGTTTCTTCTTCAGTTGATGCATCTGCAACAGCGCCTCTGGTGGTCGGAATCGTTTTTAACCACACTTCAACCACTGTCCGCTGTGACATTTGCGATGTCAAGCAAATTACTACGAAGCGTGAGATTGTTTACACATTACCGGTCTTTTCTGCCGCAAACATTTATTATAGCACAAATTATTTAATTTCAATTTACGGTATCTATTTTATTAAATTGTTCATAACGTGTATTTTGTAATTAAAAAACATGAAAAATGGTTGAAAATATAAAGTAAATATTGTTGATGTAACTGCTTTCAAACACAATTGACGAACTACCGATCTTCACCAGGTGGTAGCGGTTGATTTTGTTGTTGTTGCGTCGAATCGGAACTTTTTGCTGCATCATCTCGTTCTTTTTTAATATTTTCCAATGGAATCATTCCAAGATTCTCTGGCGCTTCCTATTGATACAAATAAAAGAAATGTTTAAAGCCGATAGAAAAATGTCTTTTTTTTTTTCATTTATTGTTACCGTAATGAAAACATCTTCTGTTTTGCCGAGTAAAACATCCATGACCATTTTTGAAACGGGTACATTTTGTTTTTCAATAACTTCATTAGCATGCTCGAGTAGAGGTTGTCGCAGTTCTGGGCACTGGTTCAAAGCGTCTCTCAGTTGGGCCGGTGGCAATGAGAGGAGTACGGGAAAACTCGCTGGTTTCAGTCGTTGACAACATTTCAAAAATCCTTCCCAAACGACCTTTTGCTTCCACACTTGCTTCGGTATGAGGCGTTGCAATAGATTGCTCACGAAATTACTGAGTTTCGGGTATAACGAGAGCGACTGAAGAATTGTTCGCATCAAAAGTGTTGGCAATGGTGTAATATCGACGAGCTGTTGCAAAACAATGGCTAACACATCTTGAGTATAACGCTCTTTTCGATCTAAGCATAGTGAAGTCGCTTTGACCACCAATTTTAGTTCAACCTTGGCCGGATCAAGTGTGTGCAATGCAACAAGCAGTTCACTCGGCATCATGGGTAGATTTTTAATGTGTTCAAATTCAGGGCCAATGGCCAACAATCGATTGAATACTTCTTTCACAACGACCGGATTCAAGCGCAACACTTTCGGAAGCATGGTAAGGATTTCTTGTTTCGTCAATCCTGCAACTATTGGAATCAATAGGCGAACATCAGACACTTTGTTATGATAAAGATCACGTACACGACGAACTAATTCTGGATGAAGTGGCATTCGCTCGGTGAGAATGTAAATAATTCGAGTTATGAGCGTTTCAGTTCCCTTAACACCATCTTCAATCATTTTCAAAATTTGCGGATTTTCTGCGCCCATTTTTTTAATGGCAACATCAATGGATCGCAATATCGTTCTTTTCATGTCTGGCGACGTCTTCACATAAATGTCGCACAAATTCGTCAAAAGTTTGTCGTTGTTTTGCAAAACGTGTAGAAATAATGACAAACATATTTTCGATAATGACTCAGTCCACACAACAGCCGTTTCGGTTCTTCCGTAATCATTGTTGAATACCTCATTCGGCGGTGTCTCTTTCTCCAAGTAGTTGAGCCAACGAAGCGCAAACTCTTCAATTTCATCGCGACACAGTTTGTGCTGTGCGTAGATGCTCATCAAGTTCTGTTGCGCCTTTTCACGCAGATCGTAATTTTCATGCACCGAAAAACGAAGCAAAACATTCAGAAATCGCATCCGCTTTGGGGGTCGTGACACAGCCAAATCGCGTACAATTTCCATTGCACACCTGGACAAACTGGCAACTTCGCAGCTGCATACCAGATTCGTAAATGCATCCTCTGATATAAATGGTGCTCCCAAATAGATGCGTCGAATGTACTTTTCTTGATCGAATTTCTCGTTGTCGGTTCCCAGAACGGTCGAAATCAAATCGCCAAGCAACTTATTGTATGCGTAGTCGGGCTTTTTTTCACTTTTGATGTATGAATGCCGGGTGAAACCTTGGAACAAACTGTACTCTTCAAATAACCACATCTCAGCCAGATCGAACCGATTCACAAGATCTTCCTTGACATATTTCAAGATGGTGTCCCTCACATCGGGTGTGAATGTTGCGGCCAAAATGGTTAGAATCCGTTTCCTTTGATTTGTTATGCCTCCGGCCGCGCAGCGTTTCTCTGCATTAAGTATGCGAGTGACGGATTGCAACAATAGTACCTCTTTCTTTGCACGAGGCAGTGGCTTTGTAATTTCTTCCAACTTTAACGCTTTCGCTTTTTGCTTCAATCTCGGAATAATCGCCTGTTCATTTTTCGCTCTTTCGATAGTCTCGCGCAACTTTTTCGTGGCTTCCTCTTTTCGTTGCTCGGGCGTGGCCGAACTATCTTCGAAGTCGTCGTCGATGCTCATTGCCTCGTCTATTTGAATTGGATCTTTTCGGATGCCCATTAAAATTCGACGCTCTTCCTCAGGACTACTTTTTATGCGCATCGGTGGATCTTTGGATATTTCAGCAGCGCCTGGGCCCAATCGTTCGGCTGTCATCAATTCAGCGAGTTGTTTAGAGATTTTCTGGGTTCGTTGTTGTATGGTAAGGCTGGGATCAGCCACGTAATTGCGCAAAAAATGGGCTGGCATTTCATCGGGCAAATTCTGCATCGACTCCATAACTAAATCAGCAACGACTTCCTTTGATTTCAGGTGATCCATTAGGAAGGATTCGTTTAATTTGTTCGAACGACGCTTTTGTTCCTCAACTTCAAATTGATCGATTTCCATTTCGCGTCGCACTGGTTTCTCAATTTTTTCCACTTTAATACGTTTGGCAGCACTTTCAGCTGCACTTTCCAAAGCCCGTTTCGCACGACGCGCTTGCTCTTTTTTATCCAACTTCGGAATGGCTTTCTGAATTTCCGAATTTGTGGCGCCCAAATCGACTAAAATATGCGATATTGTCGATTGCATTTCGAAGGCTGACGGTTGCTTGAGTATATTTAGCAATTGCATTTTCAGATGCTTTCGCACCGATATCATTTGTGAGTCAGTCAAAGTGGGCGGTAAATTGGAGTGGAGATTTTTAAGGGCTTGTATCACTGGCTGTAGAAATGTTGGCCGCATTTTGGCTATCGTACACAATGTACCGGTGCATGCGATTAAATTGACTGATGAAATATGTGATGCGGCGTGAAATTTCAATAGAGCTTCAAAAATACTAACTGCTTCATCTTCAAGTTTGCGACGTCGAACGATTTTCATTGTCAATGGGATGTTATCGAGAGAAAAATCATTTTCTCGTTTCATACTGTCTTCGTCAGTATACGTCTGCAGAATAACAACACCTTCAAGGAATTTAATGGCATTGGTTCGAACTCCATCGTTTATGTGATCAATCATATCGACAATTTCGGCCTTCATAATACAGATTGTGTTCCATGATTGTTCTGTTTCCTCTGATATGTCGCCCAATGTACAAATCCATTGCAGAAAATTCTTGTAAACGGCGGCTAATCCTTGAATTACACGTTTTATCACTTGTGGTGATTGGTCACGCAGTAAACCGGCCAAAACGCTTATCGTTCGTGGTACAAAACTAATGTGTGTTTTACTGGAACAAATGATTCAATTCAATTAATATTGATTTCATGGGGTGGTTAGGTTTATAGGTTCGCCACTTACGATATCTCTTCGATGAATCCGACGACACAACGCCGTACTTCCTGCACGGGATCATGACTAAATGCAAGAATATTCTCTAAGAATTCTTCCAACAATTCCTCATCTGAATGAATAATCAACTCTTGAATCTTTTTTATGGCTTCACATCTTTCAGCAGGCTTTTTGCCACCTTCGCTACATTCGTTTAGCCAATCGATAATCTGAATCAAACAAAATGTTGAATTAGTCGAATGAATGCAAACAATTGTACGTTTTTGGTGAATCAGCAAAAATACACTTGTTCCATCCACATCATATATATATATACATACATTGTTTCGGGCACTGGCGATCTTTTCATTGATAAACAATGATGCTGTCTCTTGTGAAGCGGGTGTTGATGCGAATAAACTGGTCATTTCTGCTTCTGCACACTTTTGTGCGGCAAATTACAAACTGCCTTTTGGGATTTCAGTTGAATTAGCGTCGACGAGATTTATTGTAGTGTTTTTCTTTTCAATTTTTAATGAACAATTTTAGTTTAAAAAGTGCTTTCGATTGACAATCAAACTATTTCACATCGACGATTGGCTCCAAAATGCACTCGTCTGTCAAAGTTCGGCGACAATGTATTATTACAGTGACGATTTATCGATTGGTAGCACTGTTCCCTCAGAATGACATTTCAATACATGTGATATGAAGTGCACTGACATTTGCTCAAATAATGGAATGCCGCCAAATTTGAAAATTAACGAGAAAACTCAATTTGAAATTGAAATTGTTATTTGATTCGTCTTTCATGTTCTTCATTTTAAATACGATTTCATTCATGTGCCATTTCCACGGTTTCAATAGTTATGCCACAATAGTGAACTGAAACGAAGATTGTATTTTGAATATCGATGGTGTTGTTTCGTTAGCTTCCCTATTGAAAAAAAAAAAAATCGGCGTCAAGAGACTTTTCCAATTGCAAACTTTCCAAGAAAGTTCCGTTCAAACAAATTCTCGACATCAATTACAGTTGTAATGTATTGTTACAATTCACGAATAGACGATTTTTAATAAGATTTGTTCATTTTTAATTAAAGATGTGGAACTATTGTGTGATCCCATGAATGGAAATGATCAATTAAGCGAAGACAAAAATGATAGAGGAAAATGAGCGTCCATTAAAATAATGATAACGATAAATAAAAGCGGATTGTCAATTGTGTAACGACATAATGAACAGAGAAATTCCATAATTGAGACGCAGAAAACAATGTCGAGACGGGAAATGTAAGATAGAGAAATGTTCCACAAACAAGTAATTACGATAAGTGAACATTACAAAGGAAATGAATCTAAAAATGTGGAGAAAATTCTTGAAACGCACGGCAAGAAAAACCATTGCCGCTAATAATGGGGCCAATCGAAGTGAGCATGCAAAGACTCATGCCACAAAGATTTGAACTAAGAAAGTATCGAAATTGTATAAAAAGTATAACAAACGTGCACACACAGGCAACGTACATGATGCGAACCAACGCGATATACGAGCAATAAAAACGTAAAAAAAAAAAACGGTTGGGGAAATTGGCAAAAAGGGAATGAGCGAGTGTTAGTGTTATGAAAGAAGGAAAAAAAGATGATAAATGTTTTGATCGTGACTTCATACCCGCGTTGACTCGAGAACGCAGATACGCATAAGATTCATTTCAAGGTCTGCTTCGATTGCCCGCTCCGGTCGTTGTATACTTATAAATGCTCTAGCTGTTCGCGTGATGTCGAACGTAGATTCTTATTTATGTATAAAAAAAGACACATATATGTGTGTTTTTCTGCTTTCTTTTCAATTTTAATATGCTGATGTGTATACACAATACAATCAATCTAACCGTTTTACGCAAAGCGTATTCATTTGAGAAATGTTCAATGTGTAGGAGAGTTACGTGTCTCTAACTCGTTAATATTGCCATTCGGATATATATACATTATACATATACCTATATGTTGTTTGCATGTGATGGTGGATTTTTGCTTTCGTATGAGCACGGTGTTCGTGTTTCTTTTGCTTTCTTCGATTTCTGCTTCCAACGAATTGAACATACAAATGAGTGTGAGTCGTTGCCGCCGATTCGATTTCGCTGTACAACAGTTAAACGCGACGTGCATTACACATCCACCTCGAATCCAAAGTCGAACGAATAATAATCAGAAGAAAATAAATATCCGACCTCACCAACAGCCCAAAACAACGAACGACAACACATTCAATTGTTGACGAGGAAAGGAACAGAGAAAGAGAGAAAGACGATGGAAAATCGTGAATAATAAACACGTAGTCGAATTCATACGTGGATCCCTTGTTGTGTGTTTGTCACCACATTGATTTTGTCGCTGTTAACATCGCCCATTTAACCGCCTTCATCTGCATAAGCGCTATCGCGTCGACTATTTTTGTCAGTGCCAATTGAAATGAAAGAACAACAACAACAAATAATCAAACATATACTCACACATGATTTCATTGTATGCATGACTCAACCACTCATCGTATGGCCAACAACGACAACGACTACGAAAAATGCCGAATAGAAAAAAATAATCAAAACAAAGCGACAAAAAGTGTTTTCAGGCACTTAATATGAATGGCAGTGCGAATCGAGAATTGAACGAATTGAAAAATGAAAAGAAAGAGTCCAACAAAAAAAATCAGCAAAAAATGTTGGCATAGAGTCGTCGCTTTTTAATTGACGTCTAACACGTCGAAGCAAGCGGAGAAAATTTAAAAATGAGCGACTAACTAGATATTGCTATGCATTTGTATCGAAACAAAAAATAAAATGAAAAGGAAGAAGAGAAAAAAAACTGAAAATAAAATGAGTGCTGAAAAAAACGGCTCAATTCGCAACATACAATGAATAGAGCACACAAACACTCACACACAGTGACTGAGCCAGTAATCAAGAATGAAGCGAAAAAACAGGAGAAAAACGACATAAATAAAACGAACGACGACTTTAGCATATTTAAAAGCCTCAATCCGAAAAAGTTACGACGACTGCGACGACTGCGACGACGACGGCGACCAACAACAACGTGATCGCGACAGCATAAGGACTGATGGTTTTAGATTTTAATGACGACGATGACGATGACGATTGACTATATACTGTATGCTATATGCATTCGTAGAAAACATTTGTCGTGTACTCATTATTATTCTTTGCGATATTCGAACAGTGCACGTAGTCGAAGCTACTAGGTTCGTTTACTTCGGCACACATGAAATCATATAAACACATACACACTCACTCACTCACACGTAATGAAATGATGTGTCTTTGCCGGTCGACCGGTTTGATTTGCTGCTCGTTTCATGTGCAAAACTAAAATTATAATGTTTTTCTTTTTCTTCGTTTCTTTTTCGGTTTTTTTCTGTTCGAAAATTATGATTTTGGTCTCTCTCTCTCTCTCTCTCTCTCTCTCTCTCTCTCTCTCTCTCTCTCAACATTAAGCAATATAAATGTTGGTATTGCGCGCCTCATCAACGCAGGATATATCACGCATTATACACGTTTGGGTCCTACCAATTTTTTTTTACATCAAAATATTATCGTTTCACCAGCGCTGGTGTTGCTAGATTTTGTCAACACTCGGGTTTGCCAATGGATCACTTCCAATGTTAGTTGTTGGTTGATTCGATGGTTGCTGTTTAGAAAATCTATGCACGCACTCGATGCCACCACGCATATGTGCACTGAATTCGATAATGAAGGTGAACACAACGAGAGACAAAGTAGACGAATGAAGCGAAAAGTGATCGCACGTAAAACGGAGAAAAAGGACGGTATTGGAAAGGAGAGGCAAGGAAAGGAACAAAAAGTGCACGAAACAACACGTAATAGAATGGCGCGCACGTACAAAACGTATAAAAGTACATCTGCATGAGTTGGTGAGCAACACGAACCAAATAAAAATAAATATTTGAAAAAAAAACTCGAATGAGAACGAGAGAGAGAGAGAGAGAGAGCGAGCGAGAGAAAAAAGAGAGGAGAAAGAAAAAACGACGAATGAAACGGAAAATCGCATGTATTTTGTTAATGAAAACGGTAGTCGCATTTCAGCCCAGTACTCATTTGTTCAGTACACGACTGGCATATAATATCGATATGCCGATGAATTGTGTGTTTGGTTGATTTTTCGTGACCAGTAAAATGAAAGAGAGAGGAACAGAAACAAAAACAGCACACAGCACGGAAATAACCAAGAAGAAACAAGAGCGTTCATTGCAAAAGAATAAATGGAAAAATTTTCGTTTTCCAGAAATTGACAAACAATGGACTCGGACATTTCACATTCAGCACACGCAAATATGGAATGAGAAACAGGCCCGAAGACACATCAACAAAACAACGGTTTCGTTGCATTAATTTAAACGATGAAAAGAACAACGAATGTTGAGTGTTCGCATCAGAGCATGCTTTATATGTGAAAACCAGAAGAAGAAAAGTAAGGACGAAAACAATGAACGAAATGTTGTTTCAATTCTGTTCAAAGGAAAAAAAATGTTATTCGGTCAATATCTGGATTGGCAATTTGACTTTCAGCGAACATACAACCAGAAAAAAATAATAATTCCGCTTCAATCATGTTTTTGATCGAAAAGAACATTTCGGCTTCGTTCAGCATTTTCTTCGATGTGCATGAGTACGTACGTGTGTATACGATATACGTGCACGCAACTCACTCGCCTGTAACGGGCAGAGCATTTCATGTCTGGTTGTTACCACCAAGCATTACAATCGAACCATAAATAAATATAGACCAAAATAAACTCAAAAAGAACCATGCAAAACATACTAACCACAAAAGAAATGATTAAGCAAAGCGAAGAAAAAGAAATGATACGTAGTTCTGCTGTGCACGCATGAACAAAACCACACAAACGAAGAAAAGTGCATTTCATTTAACAAATACACCGAAAATTCGAATGCGCTCTCGTCTCTTTAGCGATTTTCACTCGGACTAAAAACGAACAAATAACAGCGGCGGTTGCAGCCAACAACAACAAAACACATGTTTTGATTTGGCAACGATGCTCACAAGAATGTTATGATGATGTGAATTTGTATACATACAACTATTTTATCGAGTTGCATATACTTTATGCGGCTTTAGCGCTTTAAATGTACTGTACGTGCTTCTTTTTTTGTTCGAGAGTGGCGTCTCTTTCTCTCCGTGTTCGTATCTATCTATGTGTGTGTGTGTGTATGTCTATGTGTGAGTCGCTCAATCCGAAGGCAATGTGAAAAGAGGAAAACACGTAACAAAACGGTTTTTTTCCCTATGAGCACACGCTCGCCTCGTCAGATCGTATGCTTGTGTATTGTCGACGAACATATTGTCGTGTCGACTCAGTTTTTCGGAAAAAAGAAGTTAAAAAAAAAACATGTGTCTTTCCGCTTCAACACATACCAATGGCGATGGATCTGTGTGAAAGCATATGCACTGTAGTGACTCGCATACACACACACACAAACTTTGTCAATTCACTTGACTTCAGTTCGTTTGCCGTTGCTGCTGTTGTATTCTTCTGTTCTGTTTTGCACTGAACTGCATCCATTCAGCTCTTTTTAAATACCCGCTCCAAGTAGTCCACATCTTTCGTATTCGAATGTGTTTAGTATGTATGTTCGGAGTTTTCAATCCACATTTTCATAAATATAATGGCTCTCTATATATCGACGAGACATTTTGCTTCGGATCATTTTTGCCAAGTACAGTAAACACTCTGTTGTTGGACACTTTTTTCGGTCTCACATCAATCAATTAATTCGATGAAAGACTGGGCAATTAATTGACTCAAAAATAATCACCAAATAAAAAGCATTTCAAGAAAACTCGTTACAAATGACAACAGCAAAAGTTTAGAAATCTCAAAACACATTCCGAGCATCACAGGCCATTTTACACAGCGATTTCTATCTCGAGCTGTTGGTTCAACGTGTATTGATCATTGGCAGAACGAAAATAAAAAGTGCAACAGTGCAATGCATCAAACTTGTTCTGTTTCTTTGAGAACCGGTTTCGAAATGTTTGGCTTGAATTGAATTTTCGCTATATTTTTCATTCTGTATTAATCCCATAATGCGCTCCACGTCAATTTGCGAACACGATTCAACACACAGTGGAGCTGTGCACACAGCAACAATATGGTATATTTGAAATTAATGAATTAACGCATAAAATAATTCTATTTGGTATACAAGAGCTCAAATGAGCAACGGACTGGCTGGCGATAGAATATTATGATGTTGCGCGTGCGAGCGGACGAGTGAGTGTTTCTCACTTGCTGTTGCCAACACTTATATTCATCGTGTAATTTGAATACCACCACTGCACCACAACGTCATGTACTTGTAGCGATGAATTAATAGCCTATATAATTTGTCGAGGGACTTTTTTTTGTACTCATTCGGTTCTCACTATCTAAAACTGTGACTGTTCATAATATTCTTTGAAATTGCATGTACAATCTGTCTTATCTGCATGCCTGCGTGAAATTTTATCATTCACCGTACGTTTCACTATCATTTGCTGGATTATTTCACGCTGTGCGATCTATGTTTGCGTGTCGATGTTGTTATTGTTTCTTTTCTTCTGCGGTTTTTTAAAGCAGAAAAATTGTCTATCGATCCATGTAAGAATGAACAGCAGCAACAACAACAACAAATCCGACACAGTCATTTGTTTTCGATGCGTTCGTGTGCGAATTGCAGTCATTTTTCACTTGCTAATTTTTTTTTCTGTGAACAACTTAAGTTGTTTATACTTGATGAGATCATACATTATTCAATGTAGATTATGCTTGCACATTATTCTCTCGTAGCTATTTCATCGTCTTTTGATTCACAAAACAAACTTGCAGCAGAAAAAAATGTTGCTATTTTCAGAGCAAGCAATGGTTTTTAATGAATTTTTTTAGACCAGAAACAATTCCATAGATAATGGAATGCGTACTCAAAGAAAATCATGCTCGAGAATGCGGCAATCGTCCGTTTAACCTAGTTATTATCAGCGAGGGTAAAAAAATACTCATTTTTAGCTATTTTCTGTTATCAGTTACAAAATCGCCAAAAAAAAAATGTTCCAGAAAGCGCGGACAATGTGCCTGCCATGTTCGCATCAGTTTTTAATCAGTTCGCATTACGAAATACATAAGCAATGTGTGCAAAAGTTATGAGCCGAACAATTTGTTATATGGGTGTGCTACATATGTGTGATAAACGATAATAAGTAACGAATGATGAAGCAGACATCGAATATAGTAGAGCGCGGCGAATATACACGAAATGAACGAGAATTGAGTGCGAAAAATATATAAAGAAGTCATAACAAAAACAGCCAATTTATTCCATTGAGATAAGCGGTCGCGGTGAATGTGGTGCTGATTACGCGAATGTGTAATGCTTTCTGATAACCAACTTTTTATACATACACAGGAAAGAATGTTTGTTCCAAAAGGAAAAAATAAGTTGAGTATGTCAAAAAAAAAACTGCTGATTGTTTGAACAATATTTACTCAACTCATATGGTACACATGCTTTCCCGGGGAAAAGCTATTATCAGCTCGGCGGAATAAACAAAGTGTTAGGAGCCTCTAATAATAACTCACCCGAAGTGTTTTACTTCTGCTTGGAATTGACTGATATGAGTAATTTTGAAGTGAGTAATTGAGGCACCAACAATTGTGTTGCATGTTAATCGACAACATTGTCTTTATCGCCATTTTTTATTCGTTTTGCCGAATGATTGGTGTGTGATGACGATAATTCAGTTGGACTGATAAAACTTCTTTCGGAATCTTATGATTTGGTCACCTTTTTCTTGATAAGATGAGATAATCGTTATCACCCATTTTTCAACCGGTATGTCATTCAACGTGCTCTAGAATATGGATGAAAATTTCTCCTGAAATTCTTATGATTTCGTCAGAAATATTTTTTTTGTAAAATTGTATTCCTTGAAATTTGATTGTGTTCCTTGAAATTATTGCCTTTGCTTCCTACGGAATTTGAACCAGACGAGAAAAAAAATCGATCGTTTAAACTCCTCGTATGCCAGTTTACATTCCACTTTCCTCCAAACAATTCGTTATCTTATCGCATTGTTTTCATTATAACATTGAGTCGGTAAACACAAATACACATGCAAAGCTGGAAAGGCGGCCAGTTCAACGGCGCATTCTGAATGTTTTCACTTCATATGTATCGTTATCAGTGTCAAACAACTTAATTTTTTTTTTGCCGCTTATCGCTCAAACAAACATTTTTTTTCTTCAAAAAAAGGCAAGCAGTATCACGCAAAAAAAAAACGAAGTACAAACCACGTACAAAGGCGAGCATTTAAATGTGATAAGGCTAAGATTTGATGCCGGTTTGCTCAGCCAAATGCCGATATGAAGAACGATAACAAACACTATGAAATGAGATCATTGATGTGGTTGCCTCAACTCAAACGACCCGATGCATGCGCTTCCAGGCCAAAAAAAAGGAGTGCGCGTGTAATTAAATAAACATGCGACAACTTACATAACCGTCAAATATTCACGCACATCTTGTATTCGTGGGGTGCGCGCATTACTATCATCCTAAGTGAGTCCTAAAGTGAATGCTACGATTAAAATATTGTATTTTTTTGTCATATACACGCTGTAGTCTAATCGCATGCAGACGCTTTTTTTGCGCCGTACTCTTCGT